CAGCCCACCCCAGAAGAAGCCAGACTTCCCCCTCCAATTCCACGCATCGACATTTAGCATGTAAGGAATAATGATACCAGTCACCAGATTGAGCACGTTATACGTATTTCTTGCCAGCACAATCGTCTTAGTGCGCAGTCTCGACGAAGGCATCTCTGAAACCAGCGAGAAACACACCGGCCCGATAGTTGAATCATAGATGAACGTATAAACAAGCAACATGGATCCCGTCGCCCACGAGAGCGAGGTAGTCGCCGGCGGAATCGACACAAACCCAATGACAAGCAGGATAACAGCCAAGATCACCAGGCCACCCACATACAGCGTGCGACGACCAAAGTACGTCATAAACAGCCACGAGGTGAACGTACCAACAACTCCAATCGCATACTGCGCCAGCGACATCGTAAATGACTGCGAGTCGGCCAGTCCAGCACGTTGGTAGAAGACAGTCGAGTAGCCCATCAGACCGCTACCGCACAGACTCTGCACCGCCCACACACAGCACGCGATCTCTGTGCGTCGCAGGTCAGTCCCCTTGAAGCAGTCCAGGTATGAAGCACCAGTTTCGGTCTGCTGCTCCATGGCATTCGTATACACAATCATGGAGACGGTTTCCTCGGCGCTGAAGTTCGGATCTGCGCGCGTGAGCCGCTTCACAGACTTGATCGCGTCTTCGCGTCTGTCCTTCCGCACAAGCCACCACGGGCTCTCGGGCGCGAGGTACACTCCAATAAAGATCGGCACTGGCCACACCCACTGGATGGCGAAGGGGATGCGGTATGCCCACTGGTCGGTGTGTTCGACAAGGCCCTTCAGCACACCTGAGGCGATGAGCTGTCCGAATACCCAGCACAGATTGACGTAGGTTGTTAAGTAGGCGCGCAGTGCGACGGGGCATACCTCCGATGCGTATGTGACTGTGAGAGTCTGGTAGACGCCTAGTGGGATGCCCATGAGCAGCTCGCCAGCAACGAGGGTCTGGACGTTTGGTGCGAAGAAGAGGATGAAGATGAAGCCGACGGTAGAAGCGAGACAGGCCATTAGGGTTTTGCGGTAGCCGTAGCGCTCGGAGACGATACCGTTTACAAAGAGGCCGACGATCTGGCCGACGCTCATTGCGTTTGTTAGGCCTGCTTGCCAGGAGGCGGCGAGGCCGTAACTGCCGTCTGACATGATTTCGCCGTATTTCATGTTGAAGGCTGGGAAGGCGAAGAATGAGCCGATTAGGACTACGTCGTAGCCTTCCATGATGATGGCGCAGGAGAGGAGGAGGGACCAGGCAACGGCTTTGGGATAGAGTTTCAGGGCTTGGATGGCGGTCATGTTGTGTTCTTTTTCGATGGCGGCGTGGGCTTCAGCCGTGGTTTGAAGGTCTGAGTAGCCAGGCAGGACATGGCCCGCTGGTTCGATTGAGTCGACATGTTTCTCGACATGATCGGCGGATTGCTTTTCAGAAGCCATTTCTGGAATGGGGGTGCCAATAGAGGCTCTGAGAACGATTCCAGGTTGTTCCTCGATGTGAACTGGACTGGATAGAAGAGAAGTTTTTTATGCGGGCGTCGTCTGACATTTATATACAAAATTGTGCTTAAGGTCGTCGATGGTCGTCCATAATGAGCGAGCATGGGACCGGGGTACCATTGGCCGACCTGTCCGTCGAGTCCAATCCCTGCTTAGTTCTTTCAAGCGAGAGAAGTGGCGTGGGGAGACTTTCCGGGGTTTATCTTCACGGGGTGGGCTTGAGTTAGCCCACTATCCCCAGATTTTCTGGGAGAGTCGTGATTGGCCTAATGTCGGGCCGGGCAAGGGTGAAGAGTCACTCAGTGCTCTTACTGTTCTCCGGATTGGCTTGCCCCTCGAGTCGTGCTTCGTATTGGCTGTTTTAGGGCTGCCGGGTTTCCCGAATCAGTTAGAGTCAGCCGGGAGATAGCGCGGGATGATTGGTGAGATGTCGGCCCGACTTGCTCCTTCTTTCCCCTCATTTATGGTCGATTGAACTAACGGAGGTCAGTTAGGCCCGGAAAGAGAGACGAATCGGCATACGTACCCTCGGCATTTCACATGGTCAGATAGTTGGACATTTCGGTATGCTCTCCGGATCGTAGAAATAAGTGGGAAGAAGTGGGAATGCCTATCTTACTGAAACAGCCCCCAACTCCCGCACAGCACTAAAAAACCCGCAGGCGAATGAATGGTACACGATCTCACTGATAATGACTGTCGGCCCGACATTGAGTCAATGAGAGCAATGGCCCTCCCTACATGGGTATCGGAGGAGCCTGGACTCCATCATCGAGCCTTGGAGAGGTACCTAGCACAAGGATTATCTAAAATCTAATGATTCAGCCCATATATATATGGCCTCCTCGCTTTCTCCTATTTTGGACTTATATTTTCTCTTCTATTCCCATTTCTTGAATTGAAATCCCTTATATTCACCATGTCTCCCGCTATAGTGAGCGAAAAGTGGTGGAAAAATTCCATTATCTACCAAATCTACCCCGCAAGCTTCAAAGATTCCAATGGCGATGGTATTGGCGATATCCCAGGCATTATCTCGTCGCTCGACTACATCACAAGCCTTGGTGTAGATGTGATTTGGCTGTGTCCCATGTACGACAGCCCGCAGATTGACATGGGCTACGATGTTGCCGACTACCAAAGCGTGTATGGCCCATACGGCACTGTACAGGATATGGAGACCCTCATCGATGCATGCCACAAGCGAGGACTTCGAATTATTCTGGACCTGGTAGTAAATCACACTTCAGACCAGCACAAATGGTTCAAAGAGTCCCGTTCTTCAAAGACAAGCCCCAAGCGCGACTGGTACATCTGGAAGCCAGCGAAATACGACGCGAACGGGAATCGCCAGCCACCAAACAACTGGCGCAGTATTTTCGGAGGTAGTGCGTGGGAATGGGACGAGACAACAGAGGAGTATTATCTCCACCTGTTTTGTGTTGAACAGCCTGATGTCAATTGGGAGAATGTCGAGACTCGCCAGGCAGTCTACGAGGAGGCGATGGAATTCTGGCTGCAGAAGGGTGTGGATGGCTTCCGCGTTGATACGGTCAACATGTACAGCAAGCACCCGGATTATCCCAATGCCCCAATCCTTGATCCAAAGTCCGACACACAAACGGCTTTCTCGCTGTTCTGCAACGGTCCTCGCATTCACGAGTACATGCGCGAGATGAATGACGTGCTTTCCAAGTACGATGCAATGACCGTTGGCGAACTGCCAAACACACATACCGTGGAGGGTGTTCTCCGCTATGTCTCAGCAGCAGAGAAGCAGCTGAGCATGGTCTTTCAATTCGACCTTGTGGAACTCGGTCAGGGCAAGGACTATAAGTTCCTGACCACTTTGCCAGGCTGGAATCTCCGGGAACTGAAGTCAGCCGTGCAGAGCACACAAGATATCATCAAGGGCACCGATGCATGGACCACGGTGTTCATGGAAAACCACGACCAGGGCCGCTCTGTGAGCCGGTTCGGCTCTGACAAGACACCTGAGTTGAGGGTTCGTTCTGCAAAGATGCTTGCCATGATGCAGAGCACACTTTCCGGCACGCAGTTTATCTACCAGGGTCAGGAGATTGGAATGGTGAATGCTCCCCGGGAGTGGACGATTGACGAATACAAAGACATCGATAGCACCAACTACTATCGAATGACAAGGAAAGTGTCTGGTGAAGACCCAGCCGCATTGAGCGCGGCCATGGACTCGCTGCAACATTTGGCGAGAGATCATTCCAGACTCCCCATGCAGTGGAGTGCTGAAGCCAATGCGGGCTTTTCACCGGCCTCATCGGCAAAGCCGTGGATGCGCCCGAACGACAATTACCCCGAGATTAATGTGGAGCTCCAGGAGAAAGACTCCTCTTCTGTTCTTTCCTTCTGGAAATACATGAATGCACTGCGCAAGGAGTATGCCGATATCTTAGTCTTTGGAGAGTTTGAGATCATCGACGAGCCAAACCATAGTGTCTTCACCTATACCAAGACGAGTCACAATCAGACTATTTTGGTGGTTCTCAACTTCTCGGATACACCACAGAGATTTGAGATACCAGAATCCGTCAAGAGTGAAGACTGGAAATTGCTGGCTGGCAATGTAGATGGGCACAAGGAGGACTTACAGGCGTTCGAGGGAAGAGTGTTTTTGGTTTAGGGCTGGGATATACTGCTGGTTAGATAGCTCACACTTAAATTGGTTTAGAGGACATTATTATGACAAATTGCAATCAACTATCCTTCATGAATTACTCGAGTCAGATCTTTATTACAATCTTCTACGTAAATTATGACCTCGGGATATACCTAGCATAAAGCCACTGCGCCAGTTTCACCCCGGATCACCCCGGATTCACACCCCAGTTTTATTAAGCTTTTAATTAATGCATAGGTATACGAATTAGGCCTACCTAGGTAAGTCGCACATGTTAATTGCTCATCCCAACATAGACCCCAGACACACGGAGAACAATCCGATGGCGCTACGCTGAAAAGGTCTTTAGTGCCAAGCCACCTTCAACGTCGAACGCGGGGAAAATAAGTACATGTTTCCAACTAAACATCAATCTAACCCTTGACCCTTGAAGTTTTTGGAATTCAAAGAAGAAATGGCTAGTCCAACTTCTCAGTCGCGAGTCCCAAAAGCATGCGACCCATGTAATCGCCGCAAAGTTCGCTGCAACGGCCAGCAAAGATGTCAGCAATGCGAACATCTGGATCTCACCTGTACCTACACAGAGAACCGTTTATTGCGATCAAGAAAACATTCACTGCGACGAGGAGCCGTCATCTCAAAATACAAGAGCGCCAACACCAAACCCACCACTCTGACACCACTTCTCTCTCCACCAGCACCTACAATCTCAGTCCAACTACCAACCTCGTATTTTGAAAGTCTACTCCCAGCCTACATGTCTTATGTATACCCCTTCAGCCCAATAATCACCGAGACAGAAGTACGTGATTCAATGACAAAAATGAACACGGAAAGAGAGCACGCAGCCTTCATCTACGCCTTCACCGCAGTAACCCTGGACCTAACGCGCTCTTCTCAATTCACCACCAAATCCAGCCCCCAACCAGCCTCAACACAAATTACCGACCTAATGCGCCAGTCCGTGGAAACCCAACAACCACTAGTAATAGGCTTCCGACCCTCAATATTGCGCGCTACAACAAGCATCTTCATCCAGATGTGCGCCATGAGCCTGGGTCACTACGACCTAGGCTTTTTCCACCTCCGCGAAGCGATCAGCATGATCCAGATGCTTCGCATCAGCGACAAATCTGTCAATGCAGGTCTCAGTACGGCCGAGCGAGCCCGCCGCCAACGGCTGTACTGGCAATGCTTCATCCACGAGCGATTCATGTCGATCGTGAATTTCTCTCCAGTGACGCTACCCCCGCACACGCAGTACCCAGAAGAAGACGCGTTCTTGGGTGCGGAAATCCAACAGGGCTGGATGCAGGTTATCAAGACGTTTTGCATGCTTGATGCGTCGTTTATCAGTTTATGGATTGGGGACCGCACGCAGGTGACTGCGTCGTGGGTTGAACGGAAACACCGCGAGCTGGATGATGAATTGTGGGAGGTTGAGGTCTCTGCACTGTCGGAGCTGCAGCAGGCAGATTTGGTTATTACGCGACAGTGGATGCGGACTTTGTTGTGGCAGATGGCCATGTCAAATTGTTTGCTTAGTTCGCATGCGTCGTGTCCGTCGTTGGAGCTGGAGATGCCATTGAGGTTGTCAAGTCAGCTTAGGCAGTTTTTGACGAAGATCTCGCAGAATACGATTCGGGTGCATGGATCTTCAATGATTAGCAAGTTATTGGAGATTGTTAATACTATTGCTGATGTGGTTATTCATGTGCCGCAGGCGACTGAGGAGGATACGACGAGTCGCATTGATGATATTGTTTTTATGCAGGGGGTTGTGCTCTCTTTTCATAATCTGCAGGTTATGCCGAAGGATATTCTGTTGGATAAGTTTCGATTGATTAGGGGGAGGTTTCCGCATATCGAGGTGGCTATGCAACTGGCTGTTTAGTTGGAGCAGATATATTCTGTGAAGGGGCCAGGAGAACGACAGGGCGACTACTAATGGGAGATAGAGCATAGGTGTTTTTGGCAGAACAAGCATATAAGTTGAGACCAGCGTTAGCGCTTGAAACCTAAGTATAATCCAATAGCATACCGATATCAATATTACAACTAGAATCCAAATATTGAAAGAGAATATACACTGCTCTTTCCATCAAATAGCATCAAGAACCAGTAGAGCGCTTAGTCTCCGCTGCTGCTTCGTTGGACTCATTGTCTATTCAGGCATGCAATCGTCAGCCGCAACTAAAAACTGCAAGCCCTATTGGCCTCTATATCCGGTATACTCCCTACAAATGCACCATCGAGCGTATTCCTTGCGCAGAATCTGATCTTCGGACTCGGTCCATGGCCCTACGCCCATTCTAGCGGTCTATGTGGAGAAAATGGAATAAAATGTCGAACTCCATGGTGAAATATATGGTTCAGACATCCAACAGGATTCTATATGAACCAAGCCGGCAAGTTAGGAGGGGCACGGCTTAGAGAAGCCTACACACGCATGCAACGTCTCCTTTTCTGTAACACCATGGAAGATCTAGCTTTGATCGTGAATTTTCTTAGCGTTTATTCGCATGATTGTTCCGTAAAATTTCACCCGGGTATCAAAAGCGATAACTCACAAGACATGAACAGGAATTGTAGACACCATCAAGACGCCCCACAACCCCTTTTTCCTTGTTTCCAAAGCAAGGATGTTTCGGAGACTACGCACTCCAATGTCGAGCCACGAGCCTTTTGAATGTACCTCGTCAACATCTCCTCTTGAAGGTGCAGCGAGGAACTGGGCAGTGGAGGCCATCGGAAGCTAATTAACCCAGCTGATGCTCTTCGTTGGATGGAGTAGGTATTTAATAATAATGTAGAGTGCCAGGAGTTGAATTGGGGGGGATCTATATAATTTAGGACGGCATAATGGACACTTTATCCAGGGCCACCTAGGCCTGCTTCTTTCTACATAGCGATATTGTGATGATAAACTCCTTGTTCTTCGCGCGCATGGTCGTTCGTACCTTTTGACATAGCCAGCTACGGCGTTCATGGAGGATGTGGGTGGGGCAGGGAGTATATTGGTTGGTCACTTTTTTTGGATTTTGCTACGAGATGAAAAGCTAATATGCAACTATGATACAGATCCAATTTAACACTGATGAGATGTAGGTTGTAGCCGCTATCTCTGATAGAACGTGGTCGTGCACTGAGACGTGACCATTCATCGACAGTCCAACATATTCCCTATTACTTCGCTTGACTTCACAACGTCTTCCTTGGTCTAGTGGTGATGATTTCCGCTTGTCATTAAAACCGATAAGCGCGGGAGACCGGGGTTCGATTCCCCGAGGGAGAGAGTTCTTTTTGCCGGTGGCATAATGTTAGAGATCTTTTTTTCTGAAACCTAGGGGGCACGGGTTCAAATCCTGTCGTCGGCTCGAAACATCTTCCTTGAAATTTGCTTCTCCCAAGGGAAACTTTCTATTCCAATCAAAGCATGTAGGGCTCGGTATGATCTACGTATCCTGGAGGTTTGCTATGGGCCCCCATATTATCAGAACAGTGTTCGAAGTGACGCATGTTGTAATGTGGATATATTTTGGAAGATACTAGTAATTCATTGAATCGATTTCCCATTCATCGCTACCATCCTTCCGGTGTGGCACGTCTTGAGGCCTGCGATACCGTAGCTCAACTTTGGATTCCTCGGATTGAATTTTCACGTTGACAGAGTAGGCCCGGGCAGCTTCAGGAATGATGTCCCCCGGCTTCACTCCAGCTGACTCGACCTCAATCAGTCTCTTCAAGGCCACAGCTGTCGCAGATAGCCAGTAGTCATCCCTCGGTCGCATGTGCATTATATAACACATATCACGACGGACCTGCCAATCGCGACATTTGGTCGTGGACCACAAGAGCCCAGGCACAATAGTGTGCCTATAATTGAACGACGAAAGTTCGATGTCAGTCGGGCCTGAATCCAAACCTGCTAGAGTTTTTAAAAGTTTTGTGATATTCTGGAACTGCTCCAGGTGATCATCGTAAACCATCTCATCTGGCTTTTGGCTTTTGGAGACAGCCAGCTTGATGTCAATGATATCAATCCATAGTGAGAAGAGTTTAAGTGAATCGCAGTCCTCTGGCGCGAGACCATCCAAATAGACGAGGACAGCAATGAGACGGCTTCTACAGAGCCGAAGCTTGGTCAAGGCTACTTTCGCGCCGCGGCCGATGGAGCTTGCTGGTCCAATATCATACCCGCAGATAGTGAGATCCAGTACTAAGCCCGAGACGAACATTGCAAACTCTTGGACACGATCCATCTGATCAATACCCGAATAGAGATGCGGGGTATCCTTTGATAGACCGACTGTAGTGTTTGAGGATCTCCGATCCTCGCCATAGAGTAGTTCGGTATGCTCGACAAATATTTCGAAATTTGAGCAGAAGAACCATTGGACATGCAACTGAGCAAAAACCTGCCTCAGGGCCAGAGCAGTATCATCGTTATCTCCCTGAACATCCCATTCTTTGAACAGTTTGTAACCGGAGGTAAGGTGATAGCGAGCAGAATAGAGATCTCTCTGGAATAGAGCAAGACCAGTAAAAATCAAACATGTGACTAGCACTACTTGCTTGTGGGTGCGGTTTGAGCTGTGCGGCGTTAAGATTTCCCGAGCTAGACTTTCCCGGAGGCAAGCAATGGCTTTTGTAGAATGATAAAGAGCCAGACGGGGATCCCGATCTTTTCTATAGCTCGTTGGAATTCCTTCCAGCTGAGTATGCCATGCACTTATAGCAATCGTAGCATGACGCACAGCAGGATAATTTTCGCACATTTGAAACACCAATCTAGACCAGAATACGTTTTGGAAGTAAACCGAAAATCGTACCCCTGTACAATTGCGGTAAAAGTCCAAATGCCATCGCTCGTTCCAGTTAAGGTCGATCTGGCAGACACCGGCCAAAGGCAGAGGAACAGCAGTAACTGATGGGCGAACTTTCGAGCGATATCGGATTTGCAGAGTTGCATTGTTCTGACTGTTGGTAGAGTCTTTGGCTTTGAATTCACGCCACTCGCGCGTCCTCTTATCGACGGCTTGTTCATACCCATCGCACTCCCTGCCTGTGCTGGTACATTCGAAGCAAGCGGGATGCGTTTCGTCACATTTCTTATGTCGTATCCTTTACAGCGTTTAGTTAGTGCGTGAGTGCACATTTTTGGGGGACTCACTTGCATGTTTTACACCCTAAACGCGATTTTGTGTGGGGTGATCTTGTGTTTCGCGTTGGGTGCTCGTTATACATTCTGCTTGCAAACGACGATAGGATATATCAAATCACAGCCCGTTGTTCTCCGTGGAAGGACTGCAAAACGGGTCCTGCTGGCTAGTGGATAGGCTGCAGATAAGGGCCCGGGGTGGATCAGTGAGTGGATCAGTCAGCTTGAGGATTAGGTGATGCTGAAAGAATCAGACAGATCAGATCAGATCGTGCACATAATGATCAGTGATCACCCAGTGAGCAAGAAGTGGTAAGGACTGAGCACTAAAACGGCAAGGGAAAGCGAATAAGATCTTAGGTTTATGTCATTCTAAGCATAACGAAGATTTTGAATTGATCTTTGGCAACTCCGGCAAAGTCGCTGGCTATGTATATTCTTCTTAATAACCATATCCTTGATATAAATAAAAATACTATCCAAGTCACTCAGACGGCGTCTAAAGTAATACTGATGGAAAACTTGGGGTAGAGAAAGAAAAGAAAGAGAAAGGGAGAAACTAGAGGCCAACGTCAGGTCTATATATCATGGCCGTGGAGGGGAAACATTATGTTGGACATGATAGTCCAAGGGTGTATTAGGGCCCTGGACCTAGAAAGGCAAACCTAACCGGTAAAGGTAATCCAAAGGTCCTCAGTTTACATACACAAATTCATTCCTCTAGCCCGTTTACAACGCAGATGTCACGTTGGAGAACTCGCCCTTCTGGAGCTTCGTCTCCCAGAAGATAGGGTTCATGTCATCGAATCCGTGGTGCACCCATCCTTCTTCCTTGACGTGGTACAGGTTAATGAAACCACCGGAGTAGGCATCACGGTGCATGGCAGCCAGAATAGCTCGGCGGCCGAGGTTCAATGCCTCCTCCTCAGTCAGGTCGTACTTGTACTCGGCGTCCAGCACACCATAAGCGAAAGTCTGACCGGATCCAACACAGAACAGGTTACCGGGGAGGCGGGTGCCGTCGGAGTCAATGTAGTACAGGGCGGGTCCTTCTTGGGGCGTCATCTAGAGATCATTGTCAGTTGCTGAATCTCATGGCTATGAATGATGTATGGGACATACTCCTGCTAACATAGTTCCCATGCTAAGTCCGTATCCCTTGTAGGCGTAAGTGAGGTTGGCGAGAATCTTGGACGCGGCCGCAACAGTGATACGACGCTTGTGTCGGATTTCTAGATAGAAATTCATCAGCAATGTCCTTCCACCGCTTGCGAATATCAAGAATCGACCTGAACTTACCATGCAGAGTGCACTGCTGACTCAAATACCGCAACCAATATTGGCAATCCTAACAATTCGCAACAACCATCAGCAACCAACGTCCATCACACCATCACTCGTCATTATCACTTGCGGTCCAAACTTACAGCTGCACCTCCGGCCATCGTTCCCAGTAGACCTGGCGTCGGCTCGTTCGACTTCTTGTCCTCACCCCGACTCAACCGCGATACGGGAATGACCTTCTTGACTGTCTGACTGGCAATCCAGTTGCCGGCTGTTGCTCGCGAATCGGTACACACGATCTAACCCATTATCTCAATTAGCCTAACATGCTCCAAAATAAAAAAAACCATGGTATAACCGAAAGATAGGAAAACGTACGATACCTCCCTGGAACCGGAAGGCCAGGGTTGTTGTGCCGTGAGCGAGCTTGATAGGACAGCTAGGATTGGAGTGGTCATCGGTCATGGCACGCAGGAAAGCAGAGCGCTATATACAAGAAAGCAGCGTTAGTCCATTATTCTGCTTGTTTCAATCATAGATAGGTTCTGGTGAGCGATTCTCTTAGACATAGCTGTGATGACGGCGCAGCTTAGGTTGACGTCAGGATAGACGAACATCCCCCGAACAGACCGCCATCCATATCAAAGAAAACCCGTCCCAGTATTCATCAAAAACTCACGTTGTCAACGGGAGGAAGGCTGAATTTCAGCGAGAGCGGAGGGACGCTCGCAGTGAGGTCCTGCTGCTCTTGCTCTGAGTACATCTCATTCTGATGGGGAGGGCGCGAGTATTGGGCAACAAGCTTATCCATTGTGTGCTAAAGTAAGAGGAAATAGGGAGAAAATTAGAAAAAAGATGCTGGAAAGATGTGAAAGGGATTCTGGTGAGACAGTCGAGTGATGGTTGAAGCTCCGCTGGAGCTCGGGGTTTCCGCGTCACTCTGGCGCCTGCGGTCACGTGCATGCTCTACTACAAATCGCGATACGAATTCTTCAGTTGATAGAATTATTTATAGAGGAAATTGGAAGAAAAAAAATAAAACAAACGACGAATTAATGAATTAACGAATTAGAGAATTAAACTTTACAATACACAATTTGCATATTTCCTGAGTATAGACCCCCAATGTTCAGTGCCAGCGAACGCCTTTCCCGAAAACACCTCCAACATTTGGTGCCCAATCTGAAGCGAAGAACCGAATTTACACAACAGCAGAAGTATGTCCGTGTCCAACTAGAAGGGAGACCACTAGAACTCTGAGAAGGATTGAAATGATCACGCAGGCGCAGGCTCAACGACCATCTTCGCGGGCAGGGCACCGCTTCCCACTGGTTCGGTGAAACCCTCAGTCACAGAGGCATTCTCGAGAACATCCGACTGGCGCTCCGACACATCATCGAGTCCATTGGCACCGACAGCGTTGATATTATGGACACCGTTGGCATGACCTGGAGACTCCCGGCCCGTGGCAGTGGTGATAGGCTCAACGCTGGGTTCCCAGCCACGGAGGTCATTCTCAGCATCCTCAAGGATCTGGCGTGCCGAGAGCTCATGGTCATACGCCTGGCGTGCATCACCAGGAACAACAGGAGTGTCATCAATGTAGTTGAGCAGGCGGCGAGCGTGGCGAGCCAGAATGGTCTGCTTCTCGGCGCGCTCAATAACGGCCGCCAGATGGATATCATAGGCCTCCTTCAGCTTTTGGCGAGTCTGCAGATCAGATGAACGTTAGCCAATCCATACCTAACCTCACACGCCACACAGGAATAGAACAAAGTTAAGAATCAAACGTACGATGTTAGATAGCTGCGCCTCAGCAACCAAGTTCTGAGCCTCAGCTCGGACAAGCTCATGCTCCAGCGTGACCAGGCGCTGGCTGGAAGGATCCTTGTACTTAAGCTTGGCAATCTCGTCGGTGACCTTCTGGCGCTGCTCGCGCGACGGCTGCACCGAGGCCTCCATGTTGCGGATCTGCTTCAGGATACCACGGTAGTCCTCTAGGTTCTGCGCGAAGTTGTCCTCCTGCTCGCCCATCTCAGCAAGCAGGACACCGAGCTTATCGGAGATGTCGGAGACATTGTCGTCTTCAGTCGACTCGCCCCATTCGGAGAGCTGGGCGGCGATCGAGGTGCGCTCACGACCAGCAGCTTCGTGGGCGCCGATGGCGGAGTTCTCGCTCTTGATCAGCTTGGTCATCTTGCGGCTAAGCTCTGGCGCTTGCATCCCACGCAGGGTCGAGATGCTGAACCGCTGCCGGCTAGCAGGGGGCTCTTTGCGCGAGCGGAATGAAAGGTTGCGGTTCCTAGACTTTGGTTTAGTCAAAGTAAGAGCTGAGAATATACAATACATACATCTTGTTTCTTGTATGTAGATGTAGTCAATCAATACAAGTTAGAGTTATTAGGGTAGGGGGATATGTGTAAGGTGAGAAACCGAGAAAGCAGAATCTGGGGGAGGTTAATGATAAGTCGGCAGCGCCTTCCTATAGATGACGATGGTGACGAACCCTATTCTCCAAGAGCTTCTCTTTTCTTTGCCAAAGGAAGTGCAGTCCCGGTGGCTGACGTCATGAACGGGGAGGGGCGGATGTCTAGTTGAGCAGTTCATGCACGCACCTTTCCGATTGCGGAAATTTCAGGCTTAACGTTGTAGAATATCGTGAGTGGTGATGGTCTTTAAATTCTGAGTTATGTACTCCGTATCATGGAAGCTATCTAGGGCTGATCGTCATTCTCCACTTTCAGCTTCCCGATATCAGAGTACTAGCAGTAGGTACCAATGCTAAAGGATGTTAGTTGATTATGATACTATATTGCATACACTTTTATAGGCATATAGGCATATAATCATAGACAAAAGAGAATTTTGTGTGTCCCTTTATTTTCAGGCTCTGAATATGCGTGGACCCAACTACTACCTTCCTGATTAGGAGATATCTCATTCGATCAAATCTACATTGGAAGATATGGTGAAATATAGGGATTAAATTCATGAGAGATCCCACCCTCTATCCTCTCAATTCGAGGCAACAAAAAAAAGAAATTCGCAAGGCCAGAGGAAGCAGAGAATCGCCCCTGGCCAATCTTATGGTACACAACCAGCTAAAGCATCCTGCATAACCCCCGAATAGCAAGCCGCAACGCCTGAAACAGACCAGAATGACTGATCCGCGGAATCATTCGTTAAAAAAAACTTTCACATGAAAAAGATCTCAAGGCAGACTAGGAAATGTCGTCCGCATCGGGGTTGTGGGAGTGTTCGTTGTCAGATGCATGGAATGCGTCGCCAAATGCCGAGTTATCCAGGTCTGGCAAGTCGAGCCCATCGTTCTGCTCGCTGTAAGCCGCCAACGCATCTCCAGCACTGTCGATGTTGGTAAAGTCGAAGTCTCCTCCGACCGGGCCATGGTCCTTGCTCTCATTGTTCACCATTACCCAGTCGTTGGCCTGGTCACTGGTGCCACCGTGGAGCTGGTCGCCCAAATCCATGTCAACATCACCGGACATATCAGCGCCGTGAATGGGTTGTCCATTGACAGAAACACTTGAGACTGCGCCTACACCAACGCCCGGGCTGCCAAATTGGTTGAGTAGGTGGGAATCATCGTCCATGACCATATCATTGGTGAATGACTCAGGCTCATCCTTGTGCTCGGGTTCGATCTTCTCCAATAAACCACCCTTCTCCACACAGGATACCTTGGGTTCGGCAACGATTTGCTTCTTCCAGGCAGTCTCAACGTCCCGGACTACCTCGTCAACCCTGTATTTGGCCGTATCTTCAATGTAATCCAATTGTGGGGTTTCATCCTCCGTTGGAATGACCACTCGGCCTTCCAATCTCCAAATCTCTGGGCCCTTTTCGGTCGGGTCAGCCGCGGATTCTCGGAGGCGCAACTCGGCATCCTTGAGCAATGAGGTTCGGTTGAAACGTTGCATCCGGCGAGCATGCTGTTTCTTCAGGTTTTCGATCTCGGCGGTCATGTCCGCCACCTTTTTAGAAACCCGCTCAGCAAACTCCTCTGCCTTAGCTGGCTCCATCTTATTAGCCTGCGGGGCGTCGCCCGCCTCCTGGCCTTCCCCACCAGAGGTTCCAACAGGAGCATCAAAGAAGCCTGCAGTCAGGGACTCGAGCTCTCCCTTTCGGCCAAGACCCAAAGAAACTGGTGTGATTTGTGAGATACTGTAGGGCGACGCGAAGATTTCCTCCATCCACTCGTGGTGCTGCTGGTATCGCATCTTGCTGACATCGCGGGGCGTCAAAAGATCCATAGCATCACCACTAGAGACATCCTCGTCTTCGATAGCAAAATCAGCTGTTGCAGAAGCGATGGCAGCTGACGGCGCACGGTGTCCGCGCGGTCCTTTGGCTACGGGTGCATTAGGCGCAACTGCGCCTGGATGACCCTGGGGGGGATAGAAGCCAGGCCCACGAGGCGCAGCAGCCGGGTAGGCACCGGGTTGACCAAAATTTTGCTGAGCCATTTGCGGGAAATTGATAACTGGCCAGCTGTTGCGATCATGAAGCAAAAAGTCCTTGCGAGCCAATTGTCCTTGGCTTTGAAGGAAGCGGCGCTGGCCCATCATGCCCTGAATTTGCGGTGTAACTTGAATTCGGTTTGCAGGGTGGTGATCCTGAGGTGCGGCACGGGTGTAGTGCACAATCCACAGTGATGGATCGGGCTGGGGAGCATTCGGTACTTTGGACGAGGTAATGCGGTAGCGCTTGCGGCAGTGTGTTGCCACTGGCTCATTGGGAGGGTGGAAACCGCTTCGGTGAAGGTACATCTCGACGGTCTGTATCCTCAAATATTAGAACGGAATCCACATGGAGCAAGGGAAGCTTCATCGCAGGAGGAGGCATACATAGCCGCGAGACTCAAAGGTAAAAGCCTGTTCCTGGTCGGCCCAGATATAGCCATCACTAGCAAAATTATTGCCTAGGTGGTTTTGCGGCTGCCATGTAAGCATGACAGTTCCATCCGGAGGACCATCGAGGAATGTCCAATGCATTGGCTGGGATTGGCAGATCCGGGGTGCGCTCGTCAGATATTCGACGGCGGTCTCGGAGGGCATCATATGCATGCTAGGGTATCGGTTGCGCGAAACCAGGTGCATGTGGGGGAGCTATCATAATTGCGACAATGTTAGTGGGGGGTTACAGATCATGGGGCAATCGATATAGGAAGTTGTTGGGGTCTTACCAGCTGCCCCGGGATGCGTGTGGCCGGGTCATCCATATTGGGCGCTTGATTGCCAAGTGCAATCAACTTTGGGAAGGTATGAGTAAATTAGGTCAAAATAAAGCGAGGGAATTGGGATGCGATGGAGGGAGACAGGGCAAGAGCAATGAAGGACGGAGGTGTTCAATGAACGCGACACTACGCGGGAGATTTTTGATACGGTATTCGATACCGACCTGATATGCAAAACACCTGACTTTCCAGGCACCGGTATTTTTATGTCGTCAACTAGTTAGTGAAATTCATTCATTCATTTATTTATGTAATTTTTGTCTACTTGACGATAGACAATGAATGAATAATTATCCTCTGTTTGTAAAAGAAATTTTGAAAAATGTATGTTAGCATGGGAAAAGGCGTGCTCTACATTTAAACAAACTAGCATTTTTCTGCATCAACATAACCTTTTTTTTCTTTCAATAGTCAAAGACATCCCAGTCAAGACTCAAAGTCAAAAAAAGGTACAATTTACTCCGTACTCTCACCTGGGAATTCCCTTGAAAGGGATATATGAAAGTACTCCAACCCCAGCCTCGGCCTTTCATACCAAAGCGACAGCTCTCCACCTAAGCTTTTGCCAATTCCTCCGCATTCTGTTCTCCAGTCTCCAAATTCTCCACTCAAAATCCCCTTCACCTAACCCAGTGACCAATAAATATCAATAGTTTATGCAGTCCCACCAATCTGAGCCGAGCTGTCCATTAATTCCTGTACGATGTAGTACGCCTCTGCCGATCTTAGCTTTTTTTCCCTTTCACCCCGCGAATAAGTATGCTTCTGAACCCCGGACACTTGTCCGGCCTCTTCTCTTCTCTCCCGTCTTCCCCTTCAGATCAGTATTATATTGTCCATCGTGACGTCTCCAATTCACCATGGGCTTTTTGGCAAGGCAGGAGCAGCCGGAGGATGTAATCCAAACAGCCCCTGATGAAGATATTGAGAAAATCGCCGTGCCTGCTCACGAGGAGAAAGCACCCACTGCAACCCTACCGGCTATTGATCCCGAGCTAGAGCGTCGAGTAGTAAGGAAATTGGACTGGCGTGTACCGACGTTATTGGGATTTTTCTGTATGCTTCAAACTTCAGATATTAAACGAACCTACGCTCTAACTGTGTCTCTCTGTGGTATCTAGATCTCCTTGCTTTCCTCGACCGAAGTAACATCGGGTTCGTCCGCAACGGCATCTTTGAACTTGCACGCAGAATAGTACAACCACTGACATTGTGAACCATAGCAATGCCAAAATCGCTGGCATGGAAGAGGACCTTGGCCTCGATGGAAAAAGCTACGCCTGGCTCTTGACAATCTTCTATATCTCATATACATTGTTTGAATTCCAAGCACTGATGTGGAAGATTGTCAAACCACACCAATGGGCCGCCTTCGTGGTGTTCTCCTGGTATGAATCCCACGTGCAATGCTGTCAACCAGCTGGAATTGCAAATGTGTATGAATCTTTGAACCATGAGCTGACAAATGATGGAAAGGGGTTTGATAGCAGCTTGCCAGGCAGCGGTCACTAATTGGCAAGGTATGATGGCGCTCCGGTTCCTGATGGGCGCCTTCGAGGCTGGCTTCGGTCCCGGTGTGCCCTATCTGCTATCATTCTTCTACCGCCGGCATGAGCTGGGTCTCCGATGCGGTCTGTTTCTGTCTGCCGCACCGCTGGCAAATACATTCGCCGGCGCCTTAGCTTATGGTATTACTTCGGGGCATGCTTCGTTGGCAAATTGGCGATTGCTGTTCCTGGTTGAGGGTGTTCCGGTCTGCGCGGCTGCTGTGCTGGCTTGGTTCTTCGTGCCAGATAGCCCGCTGGATGCGAAGTTCCTGACTGAGGAAGAAAAGGATGTTGCGCGTGCCCGTGCACTGCAACAATCAGGTGAGCCGGATCGTACGGGCAAGATCCAATGGAAGGAACTAGCCATGACGCTTGTCGATGTGAAAGCCTGGCTTACAGCAGTAAGTCTAACATTAATATCATTGTGTGTATTGTACGGAGAACTTGCTGGTGCTAAACTGTGTACCTAGTTGATGTACTTCAGCTGTAACGTCAGCTTCTCTTCTCTCCCCGTGTTCCTACCCACCATTCTGAAGGAGATGGGCTTCACAGCCATCAATGCCCAGGGGCTCACTGCACCTCCGTTTTTTGCCTCATTCCTGGCGACGATTGCGACCACCTGGGTGGCGGATCGCATCCAGCAACGCGGATTGACGATCGCAGCTTTATCACTGGTTGGTGGCGTGGGGTATATCCTTTGCGCGACTTGCACATCAGTGGGTGTTCGATACTTTGGTGTGTTCTTGGCAGCCTGTGGGGTCTTCCCCTCGATCGCCAACATCCTGCCATGGGTTCTAAGTGAGTCATTTCATTTTCTGAACATTAAAGTTTCCTTTTGTGTGAAGGGTTTTTGATTGACTGGATTTGTTACGTTGTGTGTTGTGCAGACAACCAGGGTTCTGATACTCGCCGTGGTGGAGGTATTATCCTGCTGAACCTGATCGGCCAGTGTGGTCCTTTCCTGGGTACCAATATTTTCCCAGATGAACAAGCCCCAAGGTATGTGAAGGGTATGGCAATTTGTGCTGCCTTTATGTTTTTCACCACACTTCTCGCTCTGTGTCTACGTGTGCTCCTGGTATGGGAGAACCGGCGCCTTGACAAGAAGTATGGGCCTCGTATTGAAGACCCAACAAAATCTGTGGATGGCCCGGTAGCGGAGGATAATTACGGTGCTAATTATCGCTTTGTGCTGTGATTTTTGGTTCTTTTCTTCTAGCGAAGATCACTTCATATTTTCTTGTGTCTTTGCGTTTTCATGGATATGCCCCAGCTGAAGGCTGTGATGACTATGATGTCAGAAATCCCACACAGGGTCTTCGTAGCAAAAAATGAATGTATACAACATATTTCCGTTGAATTTACAGATTTACACGAAGGTACTTCAGGTGGATCTCATTTCAAATAATAATTGCTCCCATTCTGTGATCCCTGCAAGTGGTACTTGGTCCCGTCGTAGTCACCCGTGCATCGATGTACCAAGTGCCCCGAAAACACCCAACCTATACTTCCAGACAAGCTTGATAACAGTGATCACACAGTATAAGCGTTTGGGTCAGTCTATTATGTCCCCTACTTCCCAAGAATTTACTGTGTAGTTATATATACTTACCGTTGGAGTCACGGGAAACTTGCTCCGTGGGGCAAAGCAAGAAAGACCGGGGCAGAACGCTCCGGCCACTCATGAAGCAACAAGCTACGTAGTAGAAAAGCTAGAAACGTCACTTGAGAGCAATTTCATTCGTGTAACGTAGTTCACCGGGGAGCTCACCGGAATACCGGAGAGACTCGGGGCAGTATGACATCTCGATAGGTGGGGTATGACTGTTGGCATATAAGGGTTGAGCTGCCCATAGTTATTTTCTTTCCTTTCTTCTTCTCTTCATCATTCCATTGACGAATTTACATTACAACAGTAACTATATACTACCATGTATACTTGCATACCCTCAGGGCTGACTCTCGTTTAGATCCCAAACGGACAAGTACATACTGCCCTTCCTTTGGGAGCCATGGATACTCTTTGGCTGGGCACATTATCCCTCAGGGATCAAGGTATCTCAGGTAACTTCTGGGTATGAGCCGGTGTTCGTTCTTGCGTCGGCGGTGAAGCCAATGTCTCTAGACATCAGATTCACCCTCGGCGTAGGTTCGTTCTGAGATTATACGGCCTTTAACTTGATCTGGATAATACCAGCGAAAGGATCATGCCCTCCCCCCTCCCCTTCCCCCCAAACTAGAGTAGAAAAACTAACCAAGGCTCAAAGTCATCTCCTCGACTTGATCTCTGAACCATTATGTCTCCTCCCGCTGCCATGTTTGAGTCTGCTGCTGTTGCCCCTACCGGCATCAAGGGCAAGGTCATCGTCCCCGAGTCGGTGACCACCACCCTAACCGGCCAGGGCCAGTCAAACCTCCTTGAGCAGTTCGGTAACAAGTGGGATGAGTTCAAGTTCGCCCCAATCCGCGAGAGCCAAGTCTCGCGCGCCATGACCCGACGCTACTTCCAGGATCTGGACAACTATGCCGAGAGCGATGTTGTCATCGTCGGCGCTGGTTCCTGTGGTCTGAGTACTGCCTATGTACTTGCCAAGGCCCGTCCAGACCTGAAGATTGCCATCGTGGAGGCCTCTGTGTCGCCCGGTTAGTCTTGTCCTCATGCGAGCAGACCCACTCTCGTAGACTCCCAGCCCAAACCAATGCAGCATCACTAACATACCATATAGGCGGTGGTGCCTGGCTAGGTGGTCAGCTCTTCAGCGCCATGATCCTCCGACGCCCCGCAGACGCCTTCCTGACCGAGCTCGGCGTGCCCTTCGAAGAGGAGCCCACGAACCCGAACTTCGTGGTTGTCAAGCACGCTTCGCTGTTCACGTCGACGCTCCTGTCAAAGGTCCTCGCCTTCCCTAACGTCAAGCTCTTCAACGCGACCTGCGTCGAAGACTTGATCACCCGCCCAGACGGCGACGATATCCGCCTCGCCGGTGTCGTTGTCAACTGGACTCTCGTCACCCTCCACCACGACGACCACTCCTGCATGGACCCTAACACCATCAACGCCCCCGTCATTGTCAGTACCACTGGCCACGATGGACCATTCGGTGCTTTCTGCGCTAAGCGTCTCGTCTCCATGAACGCTATTGAGAAGCTTGGCGGCATGCGTGGTCTTGACATGAACGCGGCTGAGGACGCTATTGTTAAGAACACCCGTGAGGTCGCTAAGGGTCTTATCATTGGTGGTATGGAGCTGTCGGAGATCGATGGCTTCAACCGTATGGGACCTACTTTTGGCGCTATGGTTATGAGTGGTGTTAAGGCTGCTGAGGAGACTCTGCGTGTCTTTGAGACCCGTAAGCGCGAGTGTGCTGAGTAAATTCGCACGCTTTTTTGCTAGCTCGCTTTGTCGTTTCTGCTTGCTTCTTGCGTGATGCTAGTGGGCTCAGTGGGGGTTTATGTAGCTTTGATGATGACGATTTCTTAACAAATGCACTTCACACTCGTTTCGTGGATTTATCTTTCCTTCGAACCCGTAGACAAGTATTTCATCTCGAGAAGTTGATCTTGCTTTCAAATTATGAATTAGTTCTGCCAGTCGATGATAATACTAGCCGCATACCTAATATATACTACACTTTTGTAACCAAATATAAACAGACTGATAAGCCGCACAATCAAGCCACACCTCCCACGCATAATCAATCATTTCCACAAACCAGCTTGTAAAAATAATCAATCATCCTTCTGCTCTCTCGCCGTTTCTTCTGAAGCAGCACCCGCACCAGCCTCGGCAGCAACCACCAAGCTCCTAGCGTTACTCACCTCCCACTCAAACTCCTTCAAGGCACGCAGCTCACCCGACATGAACAGTCCACCAATCAAACCATCCAAAATCCCAGCGCCGAAGTTGAGCGTGCTGACTAGGACGAGGATGAATCCGATGTAAGTGCGGCTGCCAACCCACCACACACCAACCATGCAACCAATGGAAACCACAATAGATATCAGGAAATGCGCCAGACGCCAACGACGCTGAGAGCGTTCACGGGACACGTATTTGTGAATGATTTCAATGATGTGGTCGTATGTGTCTGGTGAAAGGGCGGCGTTGGGTGAGGCGGGCTTTGAAGTTGTTTTATGCAGGGCGAGAGAATCGGGGGCAGCTGGGGCAGATTCTGTGGAGTGTGACGGAGGGTATGTTGGTACCGAAGAGCGGGTGATGACAGCCTCGACAGCGAAGTGGTCGCTCAGCGAGCAGAGGAGAGTGGGATGGCGCTGCGTCATGGAGATTTGTACTGACTCGACTGACCAGCTAGACGGCGGGAATGCAGGCGGGTAGCCACCGTCGCCGATGAAGATATAATCCAGACGCTTGCCGCGCGGATCTGGAGTATCCTTGTCAATGACAATATCCTCACCCTTGACTAGGCGCTTGCGCATTTCCTCAGTCCAGCGCCAGGTATTGAAAGACCCATCGCATGTAGCTCCATTCTCGGCAAGATTGAACTCGGCCGTGGGAATAGGCCGATTCCGTGCTTTTTCAACAGGATCAATTGCTGCCGCAAGGGACGAATCTGGGTGCAGCTCCCGCCAGGCGTCACGAACAGGGCTCTGCGTGGTGATGAGACGGTGCGCGAAAGAGGAAGGCAGCATGTTGAAGTCGCCCAGGCCGATGACTAGATGACCGCGTTCCGCAGCGCCGCGCATTAACTTGGAGATCTCCCATGCCTGCGCGGTCCGGTGGCAGAGATATGAGTCGTTCGGTTCACGCTCATACGGCGCGTGTAGGTGGGTGCAGAACACCTCGGCGACGTCAGCGGTACCAGGGCCGAACCGAACGCGCGCGCTGGCCACACCTTTCCCCACGAACCAATCTCCTCGGAAGAACGCCGTTGGTCGGCCGTTTAACGGGTAGCCGAACATGCTGCTTTCCTCGATCGGCCATTTTGACAGAATCGCCAATCCCGCGCCAAATATGCCCCCGTAATAAAACTTCCCATACGGCAGGATGTGTCGAGTCTGATCACGAATGCTCTCATAATCCTTCTGGGTCCAACATTCTTGCAGTCCGACTATCTCTGGCGGCGGGCTGGCCAATGCCAACTGCCGCCCAATCTCTGACATGCGTTCATGGCGGTACTTGGCGATGTATTTCAGACCCCAGCAGTTGAATGTGAGAATGCGAATGTCACTTGGAGCTTTGGATGGAATAGAGCTGGCCATTGAGCCTGATTTTGACCAGAATGAGCTTTGACGACTATATTTAGGGCTATTGGTCGATCAGGAAGTACTGAATAAGGTGCCAAACAAAGATATTATTCCACCTGGCAGTCCACGAGTCCACCCGTCCACTGGTGGACTGTTAGTATGACGCAGCCAACAGAAGCTGCCCACAGACTCACCGCTCGCAAAGTGCCACACCGCCTTGATATTGTACTCCGCGACGCGTCTGATTAATTTTCAATTCGGGGTTCGGAATTGGCTATTGTCAACCTAATTCCAGCGCATTTGCATCTGTTCCTTTGGATGCTTTTGTGCATCCCTCTTGTACAATGGATCATGCAAACCCTCAGCCTCGCCGCCGGGACCCTCGCGCCCAATCTCCCGCCGAGTCTTCCTCCGATGAACTCGCCGCCGGCTCCGACCACGACGAAGCCGAACGCCGCCGAGCCAGCTGGACTATGCAAAAGGGCTTCACCCCGCAGCGCCCAAAAAAGTCCGGCCGCCTCTACAGCGAATCCGAGAGCCCCGATGAGCTAGCTGTGGATGCCGACGAGTACTGGCGTTCCTCGCGCATGCACAACCGCCACCGGAGCCCTTCTCCAATCACCAACCCTGACATCCGTGATGACCATTCCCAGGGCGGATCGGATGATCTTCCAGAGGACGATGTGACTGGCTCCGACGAGAACCAGGACCGCGACGCCGACAAATGGTCTGACCGTTCGGCCACGCCTGTCGCTGATTCAGCGCCCCCCAAGCCCGATCATCTGAACTACAAGGAGAAGTTCGTTATGCGCGGCCACCTGCGCGGAGTGTCGGCTGTTCAATTCTCGCCCGACTGTACTATGATCGCTAGTGCTGGTATGTTTTATGCTCATGATCTACCTACTGCGTGACTTGTTAACTGACTTTGCACAATAGGCGCCGACGCGGCTGTCAGGGTCTGGGATACTGCGAGTGGTAGACTCATTCATGTGTTTGAGGGACATCTAGCTGGTATCTCCACCCTTGCCTGGGCTCCTGACGGCGACTGGATTGCAACCGGTTCCGATGACAAAACAATTCGCTTCTGGAACGTGAATACTGTAAGAAACCCATCCATCCTTTTCTGTCCTAGGGCCTTTTACTAATGCTTTGATACAGCTTAAGGCCCACACCAAGGTCTTTGATGGCCACCACAACTACGTGTATCAAATTGCATTCGCACCGAAGGGTAACATCCTTGTCAGCGGTTCCTACGACGAGGCCGTATTTATGTGGGATGTTCGCCGGGCACAAGTCATGCGCTCCCTCCCAGCCCACTCCGACCCTGTTGCCGGCATCGATGTTGTGCATGATGGAACCCTCATTGTGTCATGCGCTCTTGACGGACTTATTCGTATCTGGGACACCCACAGCGGCCAGTGTCTCCGCACCCTGGTCATGGAAGATAACCCTCCTGCAACATGCGTCAAGTTCTCTCCCAACGGCAAATATGTCTTGGCCTGGACCCTAGACGGCTGCATTCGGATGTGGAGTTATGTTGAGAGCCGTGTCTACAAGACATTCCAAGGCCATGTCAATGATAAATACAGCTTGTCGGGATGCTTCGGTTACTATGGGTTCCGAGATGTGCTCTACAACCCGCCCCTTTGCTTCGCCGTCAGCGGCAGTGAGGATGGTTCCATTCTCTTCTGGGATCTTGTGAGCAAGCAAATCTTGCAGCGCCTCACTGGTCACTCGGATGCTGTGCTTTGTGTTCACACGGGTACACTGAACGGCAAGCGTTTGGTTGTGAGCTGCGGAGTCGATAAGACTGTTCGTTTGTGGGAAGAGGTGGATGGAAATGATACCGGACCAAACGATGATGATGTGTTCAGCGATGGTGTTACCCCTACCCCTGAGTCTCACTCGCAAAAGAGCACCCCTGCACATGATGCAGACGGTGACGATGCTATGACCGATGTGTCCGCTGTGCCTTCCGCTGCCGCTACCCCGGCGGAAGATGTGATGATGACATGAGCTGATCTTTGTCATTTAATGATTTTTCTTTCTTTCTGCATAGGCGACTGCTTTTCGGGAAAAGGAAAATACCCCGGCGTCTGGTGTTGTTCTCATATGGACAATTTGTGTTTCCCCGCTGTTTTTTTCAGCTTGGGCTTTTATTCTTATCAATGATGCGAATTCATCTGATTGATACTTGCATTGCATTCGAACATGTGACATATCGAGCGAATGTAATTATCCAGTCTGATAATTCAATATTTCACTCCTAACATTGAGCAGCAGAGCTTATTCTATCTTTGAATTGGTAAAAGAATTTTATATTCTAGGTCACCCTACTCTTACGCCAACGGGAGCGGAAGGGTGAGCAAAGGCTGCAGGCAAGTCAGGCCTACAAGACATGCAACCGGTGTTTGCGATAATCTATCGACTGGGTTGAAATAATACATATACGGATTACTTGCACCTCAAATAAAGACGAAACCTATAGTTACTCCGTAAAAGTAGATTGATCACTTGTCCAGTCCACTGGGTTCTGTTAGGTGACTATTTATAGGACAAACCCGAAGCCCTACTTAGCCCCCAATATCTTTTCCTCCACCTAGTAAGTTTTTAGGAACTAACTGTCTAGGCAGGTATACCTGAGAGCAAATTTAGCAAAGCACCGGTCATCTACGACCGTTTTTAGGGTGCAAAAATGGTATGAGAATTCCATATTTCAACGCGACCAAATCCTTGGTATTGATCAAGCAAGGATCTTGCAATACTCATGTCATGTTCCATTCTTGGATCCGCAGGAGGTACAAATATAACTCCATGTACATACCCAAGTAGAACATTCAACCCTAAATGGCTATGATTTACCCAGATCTTCAGTACGACCACAAAGTATGTCCCGTTTTCTGTCTTAGGATCATACACCGGTCTATTATGCTAGCATATTGCCTGCAATCTCCCACGCTTTATATCTGAGACCATTAGCATGATACAAACAAGTTGCTTGAATCAAATGACCGTACAGAGGCTCCTAGGATAAAGAATTTCTGTGGTTACTAGGTTGATGATACAGTGACTGAACAAACTGTATTGTGGATGTTTCTATGTACTACAATGCAAATTGGGACCACCACTCCACAATGTGACATGGAGGCCACATAATAGTTGTCCCAAACCAATCCTGCAGTGAATGTCTCACTCCAATGCCCCATATGTCCCGTGTAGCTTATATTTGTCATGACATGCAGAATGAATATAGCTGGATAATTGAGCAGACAGCCCCAAATGAACGCGCAACGCCGAAAATCCCAGGGTATCTCTTTCAACAAGTCTAGTTGCTGACGATTTGACTCGCTGTAGTAGATGCAGGACCTGACTCGCTGGGTACTAGGCCAGCCCCAAATCCACCAGCCCAGCCAGCAGGAGGTGTATCATATGACTGAACAGCCTGAGCACCATCAGCTTGTTTGGTAGCTCCTTTCCCAGCCAAAGAAGACCGACCTGGCGTCTGTGTCTTCCTCAGCCCATCATCATTCAAGAACCGACGAAGCGACTCCTTGCCAACTTTATAATCAACCACCACAAGTAGTTCATCGTATGTAATTTGAGGATTTGCATGGAAAGCCTCACGGATTCGGGCTCGATCTTCGTCCTTTAGTTTTGACGGTCGGCCAGAGCGGGCTTGTGAGTGGTTATTGACACGATTGCTCTCTCGGAGAATGGTTGATTTGATGGTCGAGAGTGGAATATGTGGGTATTCATTCTGGATCTGTTTGTAGGTCCATTTGGCAGTGGTTCTAAGCACACAGAGCCGGGTGCGAAGGAACGGATCGAGTTCGGCCCCACGTCGACGAGATCTTTTCTCGGGTTTATCTGGGGTCTCGGGCTTCTCGAACCCCTCGGGCCCCATGGTAGCGAACTGTGCCTGAGGGGAGACAGGATGAGGGGGTTGATGGAATGGGAGTCTTTGGTTGTCAGTCACGATGTAGTAGGCGGTATGGATAGTACATTTTCTGCCGAGTGCTCGGCCCTAACAGGAAGGTGGTACGGAGTATATATATCTCAGCTTCTGTTGTACGGAGCACAAATCACAGGTTACACTTGGTCGTTTGTAGGAATTATGCTTAACATCATATTCTGTGGTTTGCGACCGTTATTGATTATTTTAACTTATGGTGATAACTCCGTAGAAAGGAAACAAGAAGGCATTGAAATATATATTGTAGTATCACCTTGAACATAACGGTTTTACTATTCAATATTATCTCAACGTTGGATATATAATTAAGTCATTAAAATCCTATATTGTGCCTAGGGGAAGGATAGGGCCATATAAGCAGCAGGCTATTCCTACGGCAGTTGAATTATCGAAGAGTTTAAGAAAAACACTATCTACGAGTTATCTTAGATCTTATCTTTACTCTGTACGGAGTACTTCGTATTTAACTCTCAAGGAGGAAGCTTTTTTATGTTCCATGGTTGCTTTCATTAATCTATTGACTTAGTGGGACTCTTCCTAGAGATGGGGTCAAGCCCCTATTTGGGTAGTTGCTCCATTTAATATTAAGGGTTTATTCTGTTCATTGGTAACAATCAACCTGAAACCATATGAAATGAATCCTTTAGAGATAAATATGTGCAAAATCTTCACAGATTACACCTTAGCTGCTCTCTTGCAATTAATAGGCTGGGTACAAATTACGGAGTAAGACTCAACTTTATGTATGGACTAGTAAGCACCTATGGGAGGCTGTCAGAGGCTGTCATAGTGAGAATCACACTAATAACTGACGTGTGCCATAGGCTCTCAGAAGAGACAAGAATAGATATCTGTGATTTATGCTGTAGGGCGGCACCCCAGCGCTTGGCCCTGTGTCTCACATTGATGATCGGACCACCTATAGGGTGAACCCACTTCGCTCGGCCTCAAATTTTGTGTTTTCCACATTCATAGTTTCTGAGATGTGTGTGCAGTATGCAAAAAATGTGATTTCTTACAACATATGTTGTAGTGCTCAGAACTCGATTGGTCGCGTGCATCATAACATGATTTTCACCCAGAACATTATGTGTCCATTCAGAAGCCTGTAAGGGGTCCACTGCGGTAAGTCTAGAACTGGGATTATGCGAGGATCTTCGATCGGCGCTCCAGTCCAGCTTTTGTTCTTCTCAGGGCTTGTGTGTGCGACACCTGCCCCGCGAGGGGCAACCGTCATACATAAGCTGTGAGATGCATGTTTGATTGTGTAGAAGTGGACTATGGATATTCAAGTTTCGGGCTTGCAGGTACCGCTATCCCCTAGTGCCTTGCGCCCATTACAACAATACTCCGTACTCCAATACGTTTGAATTACAACATAATTTGAGTCAAATCATAATTCGCAAGCGCTAGACCTCGGGAGGTAATTGACATCCCGTGTGGCTGGTGTGGCGTTGTTATCCCTTGGGAATGCGTTCCATGGGTGGGTGACCGGGAGAACTTTTAGTGTCACTCCTTTGGGTCATTTCTTAGGCTGGAACCCTGGTAACCTGAGTGGTAACCCTTGGGTCAGATAGTCGGGAGGAAAGCTTTAAATATGAGCTTCAACTATTTATTGTACACTCCTTTTTCAAGGTTAATTCATGTAGGATTAGACCATATTTCAGTATAAATAGAGATAATAGACATAATAAATATCATAAAATTAAGGTATAAATACCAAGTCTAATGGAAATAGTAACATACCCGAGTGTTGGATCTAGACTGAAACAGGTCAGGGCCAATCAGTCCCAAATTCAGGGGGGCCAAGTTTAGACTAATCGTAAAGTCGTAATCTACGGTCGAGACTTTCCTCCTCTTTTCTTCTTTTCACAGATCCATTTGTGAGAGGGGGAAATTCATTCACTATTCAATTCCTCTCTCCTACTACCCTCGTTCAATTATCTCTCGTTCAATTATTCACGGCTCCTGGTTGCTCGAAAACCAGTGTCTCACATCCCACCCGTCCTTGCGACCCTTTCGACTCATTATTATTTATCTTTATATTTCTTTTCTACAGCGGGTTGATCCTGCCTTTTTTTTTACCTTTCCCTGACTTACCCACAGTCACTCCATATATCGTTACAACCCATCCGATCATCGCGCCAGTCGATCCCTATATCCTTGATGAACACGCGCCTCCTCGGTTCAAATTGTTAGATTCAGATTGGTATAACGAACCTCAATTGCGCTTGGCCAACATGCAGAACTTCAAATGGGCTCTGCTAGGCCTGGCCATCGTGCCTCAAGCCCTGGCAGCCGACGTCCTATCCACAGACGGATTCGACCTGTGCATGACCGATTCGGCAATCAATGTCCAAAAGATGGATGTCACCTACACTCGTTCCACTGGAGTAGTTGTCTTCGACGTGGCTGGTACCAACGCGATGGAACAGAAAGTGTCGGCCTCTATCACCGTCACTGCCTATGGCAACGAAATCTACAGCAAAGAATTTGATCCCTGCGGCAGTGAAATTCATGTTGAGCAACTCTGCCCTGTCCCCAAGGGTACCTTCACGGCCAGCGGATCCATGGAGGTTCCGTCCGAATATGCTACCCAGATCCCTGGAATCGCATTCACTATTCCCGACTTGGATGGTCAGGCAAAGCTTGTCCTGAAATCCAAACAAGCGCAGACTAATGTGGCCTGCATCGAGTCTCAACTGACCAACGGTCACACCGCTAACGTCGTCGGGGTCAAATATGCCTCGGCAGGCATTGCGGCAGGCGCTCTAGCACTGAGCGGTATCTCTGCCATGGGCTCGGCGGGAACTGCTGGATCACCGTCGTCCAGCCCTGGATTCGGCGATGTAATGGGCTGGTTCCATTCCATGGCCACCAATGGCATGCTCAGTGTCGCTTACCCGCAAGTCTATCGCAGTTTCTCATCGAACTTCATGTGGAGTACTGGTATGATCTCTTGGCCTGGCATGCTGCAGTCCATCGACAAATTTCGGGCGGCCACAGGTGGTAACTTGACCACGGAAAGCTATGAGTTCCTGAAGAAATCCTCAGTAACGCAAAGTAGCTCATCATCCACCAACACAACGAAACGGAGCTGGGATTACACCATTCAATTCGGTGAGATGGTTACTCGCTCGGTTGAGACCTCCACCGATTCTAGTGTTTCGAACAGCACTTCGAGCAGCGACAGCGATGGATCTAGCAAGGTTAACGACCTGAAGCAAGTTGCCCAAGAACTGATGGTTCCTTCTGCCGATGTTTTCATGACTGTTCTCCTGATCTTCGCTATCGTTATCGCTGTGGTTGTCGTCGGTATTCTTTTGATGAAGGTCATCCTGGAACTATGGGCGCTGTATGGCAACTTCCCTAACAAGCTGGCCGACTTCCGGAAGGATTATTGGGGCATGATGGCGCGAACAATCACCAACATGATCCTCGTGCTCTACAGTATCTGGGTGCTATACTGTGTCTACCAACTACGAAAGGGTGACTCGTGGGCAGCGAAGCTGCTGGCTGCTATCACCCTTTCTCTCTTCACGGCGCTTCTTCTTTTCTTTGCTGTTCGCATTGTCTACATGGCTCGCAAGTACAAGAAGGTCGAGGGAGATACCAGCAGCCTATACGAGGACAAGGAAACCTGGAAAAAGTACAGTCTGTTCTACGATAACTACAAGAAAGACTTCTGGTGGCTCTTCATCCCCGTCATTGTGTACGCATTGGTCAAGGGCTGCATCATCGCCGGTGGCGAGGGCCATGGTATGTTCCAAAGTGCTGGTCAGCTCGCCTGCGAAATCCTTCTGCTGGGACTCTTGGTGTGGAGCCGCCCATACGCCACCAAGGCCTCCATGGGTATCAACATCGCCGTCCAGGTCGTCCGTGTTCTATCCATTGTTTGTGTCTTGGTCTTCGTCGAAGAGCTTGGTATCTCCCAAACAACAAAGACTGTTACTGGCATTGTCCTCATTGTCCTGCAGTCCACTCTCACTGCAGTCCTCGCTATTCTTATTGCGGTCAACGCCGTCATCACTTGTTGTCGCGAGAACCCGCATGCTAAGCGGAGAAGAGAAGCTGGTAAGTCAAAGCTACCTTGGAATCCACGTCCCATCCCAACATGTGCATCTACTAATGATTTTCTTTCTATAGAAAAAGCAAACCGCGACATCGATGACCTGACTCCCTTGGATGCCCGAGACTCCCTCCTTATGGACCACCCACAGCGCAAGGAATACAACGAGATGAGCAACTTCAACTTCAACGGCCCTTACGAGTCTTACAGAGACGATCCAAAGCGAGCCGGATCACCGTTCAACAATGAACGCGATCGCCTAGTCCACAATGACTACGGCGTTGCGCACGGGCGCAGCATAAGCCCCGAGAGCCACCGCTCGCGAAGCTCAATGGAAGGTCGTCGTCCCGCGGCCCCGGGCTACGGAATGGCATATTAAAAAACGAAACAAAAAAGAATAAAAAACAACCAACGAAAGCGTCACAGACCTGACATGACGTTACACTTCTTCTTCTCTCTTCCATGTTCTTACCTTCCTACTCAACATTCTGAGATCAGGCACGCGCGCTGTGGATTGGGAGTTACTTTTTTTTTGACGGTTTTAGCGTGCTTTAAAATGGCGGCTGGGCACTTCTTGATCTTCCCGCCTTTAGATGCATCTTCTTGTGTGATATCACTTCCATTCTTTTTTTCTTGTCTCTATACATACCTCATTCATTCCCATGTTTACCATCTATCATTTATATTACCGCTTCCAATTGATGAGCATTTCTTGTATATTGAGTTTGTTAATGATCCCAGCGTATTCAGTCTTTCCGTGGCCATCCATTCAATACCATGGTCAACTTGTCCTCACCTTGAAGCTCCTCCTTCCGCTCCTTGAGCTCTTCCACATCCCAGTTACTCCAAATGAACTTTCCTTTCAAGAATGCTCCCTCGGGGCTAGCAGCCCACACCATGAAATGGCCCGGCAAGTCGATGTGATCAAATGGAATGGAGTTGTCACTGCCTAGACCCCCCTTGGCAGACTTGGCATTCATATCCGTTGCTATATAGCCCGGATGTACATGCATAACACGCAGATTTGGGGTTTCCGCCTGTACCGCCTCGAAGAATTTTAGCGCTGCAGTCTTGCTTGTCTGGTAACCTGAATAGTTGGGCATTGAGGGAAGATGAACGGCACCGGTGGTGACATGGATGAGCACGGCATTAGATGGTGCGGCGGTCGCTAGAAAGGCCTGTGTAGTGATAAGATTCCCCACAACATTAGTGTTCAGTCCCTGTGCAAAATCGGAAACAATCATATCCTTGATTGGCACCGCCTCCGGGAGGAATGCCGCGTTTGAGACGAAGATATCAATGGGTCCGAAGGTTGCTCTTGTGCCTTGGAAGGCAGCGTTGACAGCTGAAGCATCGGTAATGTCCGCCACGAAAGTGAGGACCTTCAATCCGCTATGTGTAGATTCCAGGGTTGATTTGGTCTTCTCAAGAGTTGATTTTGTTCGTCCAAGAAGTGTAATCTGCGTACTTCCTGCAATTGCAAATGCTTCGGCAATGCGAGGCCCAATTCCAGATCCACCGCCAGTGATGAGAATTGTCTTCCCGGCGGCGCTTACATCCGGCAGCCTGGGATCAATGCCTGGGTAGGGAGCAGTGTGATATTTTAGGGTGAAAGGTGGGAATCCCATGTTGGGCTGTTAAGTACAGAATTGTGACTGGATGTTGATAATAATGAATATTGGTAGTCTTTCGGGAGATCTGCTCAGACTTAAATACTTTCAATTCAGAATTGAATCAAAGGTGACAAGGAGATAATTCTTTACAACCGTATTATCTCCAGGTATCTCCGTTGATGACCGATGATGTCAATTTGGCTCCACCCATGAAGTCAATGACCTGCACTCTTTTTTCTTGGCTGGAAGAAACATCCATACATCCCGTATGGAACGGTGAAGAGTTAATAGTTTAATAGAGTAAGTTGATGACTCTTATTGGATCAGATTACCGCTATTCGCTACGGGGACTCCTATTGGAGCGGCGACAAAACCATCCACAGAGCTATGGATACCTCTTACAAGTGTAGAAGTGTTTCTGATGTCTTTATAAAGCTTGAGGCCATAGTATTTCGTTGAGATATGAGATTTAACATGTTCAAAAACCAATACAAAGGAAATTCTCTTCATGGAAATACTTTTGTGTATAACCTTAACATCTTACTCTAACGCCAGTACTTGAAAACACCGCCCTTGACCTGTAACCATCTATCATTTAGAGCCTGCACAACCTCCTCTGGTAGTGATCCTTTCTCTAACTCCACCAGATTTGTCTCAAGCTGTCTATAGCTGCTAGCACCAACCAAAACGGCATCACCAAACTCCCTATCTAACCCAGAATGGTGCGATAACCACCTGAATGCGCATTCCGACTCCGTGAGACCGTGGATTTTCGCGACAGAGCGGATAATATCCAAAGCATCAAAGTATGCTTCGTTCCAGTATCTCCCCTGCTGCGCCCCTCCCTGCCGCCGCTTTGGGTCAAATCGTGAATATTTCAGTCGTAAGTTCTCTAATCCTTTTCTTGCTGTAGGATAACCCTTGGTCTGCACCTTTAGACCACGGGCTTTCCATTGAGAGTCACCGAGATACTCCTCTGGTGAGCCCGCTCTGTAGACACGCGAGGTGTCGACTCCCGAGTGGCCGTGTCTTTGGAAAAGATCGAACATTGCAGATAGCTCTTCCTAAGTGTGGATTTGAGCACCCTCGAGGCCTCATAAACGGGTTTAGTCTTAGTCTTAGTCTTTTTTTTAAACCCAGGAAAATGGGCAGGTTATCAGAAGCTTAGCAGGTCTCCCGACAGTCATGGTCCCAAAAACGGCTTTCATGTTGCCCATGTTGGATATAACGTTAAAAAGTGATCAATAGGTAACTGGAATGTATCTATGGTTTTTCTAAATCGGTTACTGGCCAAGTTCATGTGATATTTATACCATCAAAGATGTGACTTTCAAATAAAAGCTAGCGTATCTAGTTAAATTTTGGCACGTTTTTTTAACAAAGGATGGGTGGCGTCTGATCTGCAGATCGAATTCTCGGAGTTAACGGAGAGGAAAGGGTTCAATCAGAAAATGGTGGAGATCCATCCGGGGACCTATACACCAGCGCCAGGTGCAGGCATGAAGGGGATATATTGTCCGAAGTTCACCCGAAAGGTCGGCAAGGCTCCAAACTACATGTATGTAGCTACTTGGTATGTCCGCTAACTCCTACAACATGAATCAAGTCAATCTAATTGCACAAAGTTCCACTATTGCTGCGGTATAAAGAGCAAAGTTCGCCATTTGAGCCATTCAATCGTTCTTTTTCTTCCCAACTTCTGGTACTCTTTTCAAAGCTTCTGCAATGTTTGCTACAGCATCGATTCTCCCAGCATTAGGAGTGATAACACTCCTTTTGCAAGCTTCCGTCGTGTCATCCTATCCCAAAACAACCACCTACCCGCTTACGGTCATTGATGAATTCACTGTTCCGCTCACTTTCGAAAATATTGCCACCCGTCACAATGGCCATCTCATCGTCAGTTCTACCGCGTCTCCAACACTCTACCAAGTCTCTCCGCTTGAAGTGGTTGCAATTGCCAATATACCTGGGACAACTGGTCTGCTCGGGATTGCCGAACTAGAACAAGATATCTTCTATGTTGTAGCAGCAAATGTCAGCTCAACCAGTGCCACCCCTGGTTCAAATGCAGTTTGGAAGGTAGACCTCCGTGGATCTGCGTCATGCTCCGCACGGAAAAGAGCCTCGTCTTTATCTGCCACGACTTCCTTAGTTGCAAACATCACCAGCGCTCAATTGCTGAACGGCATGTGCCGTTTGGAACCGAACAATAACTCAACCCTGCTCATCGCCGACTCTGCTGCGGGTAATGTTGTGAAGCTCAATGTGGAAACTGGTGCTTACGAAACCATCATCGATGAGAAATCAATGAAACGCTTGGAGACCGGATTACAGGTTGCTGTCAATGGTATTCATGTTCACGAATCCGACTTATACTTCACCAACTTGAACCAAGGGGTGTTTGCCAAGATTCCAATCGAATTGCACAACGGCACAGCGACAGGTCCCACCGAGGTGATTGTCAATAATACAGCTGGTGATGATTTCACAATGTCGAAGGATGGCAAAAAGGCGTGGATTGCTATGAATGGACAGCATAGTTTGGTTGAGGTTGATGTACCTGGGAAGACAGCCAGGGTCGTAGTAGATTCGACCTATTTGGCATCAGCCTCCGCGGTTTCATTTGGAAGGACAAGACTTGATCGAGATTCTTTGTACATCTCATCTGCAGGAACACTCGATCCTACACTGACTAGGAATAGCACTGCTACCGGAGGTATCGTTGTTAGGGTCGATCTTCCATGAGCTGCCAGTTTCTAGAGCTTTTGCATGTATGTACTTAGTATTCATATCATAAAAATTTACTGCGCTTAATCTGGAAAGACATACAACACACCCGACTAAAGACTCTGGGGAGTATCAGGAATATGGAAGATCTCAATCCCCAAGGCTGATATCTGTGCCACATACATACCCAGCTTGACATCGCCGTAGCGCGAATTTTATATAATTATCTAAAGAATATACCTCTCTAATATATCAGGTGCACAATAGAATTGTCTTCGTCCAATTAAACCAAAAACGTCAACCAGATGTCTATAACATATATATTCTTTGAGACAACGTAAGTATACCCCGATAACCAAAAAAAACTCGTTTAGCGGAAGTTTGAAAACAAAATCATGGCTCTAGTGTGTTAAAGAGGTGCTACTGTATCCATGACAGACCGAGATAATAATAATGACCGATCGGACCTTCCAATCGATGACCGTCATAACACCACTTATTTTGGTGACTCGAGGATGGAAGACTTGGGAGGGCTTGGAAGAATTTGGTAGGACCCTTACCATCATAGAGCTACATCTGCATGTCATATGCACCTGTAGCTTTAAATACTAAATACCTTTGATCTTATGACTCCCCCGTTGAGCCAAAGGTCAATAGACGTAATTTTGATATACATAGCGGAAATGGGATGGATGGGTAGACAGAGCGACTTGCAGCGAGGAAAGCCAACTGTTTAAACAAGCTTGTGAAAAATGCCTTATTAAGTCTGCACTTAGCATGTCTATGGGTTGGAAGTTAAGTGCTAACATTGTAGAGCTCTGAGAGAGTTGTGTGAACTGGGCAATCGTCCAAGTCACGTGGATTGCGTGGCCCTATCTAGAAGACGACCCATAAAATTGATTATATCACTACACCATCAAAATAGATATTCTGAGACGATGAATATGTCGATGTAGATTAAACAGTAGTTGTGACACCCAATCAACAGTTTAAATATCTACAATACCTCTACGTGGCGTGGTTGGGGCCTGTCCTGCTGGTTCCCAGCCATAGTATAGTTACTATGACTGGGCCTCGTCGACCCCAGCAGCATTTTATGTGAATTTGTAATTAGGGTTCCCACCAACGAAAGACCTTTGAACATCCAGCAACAAAAGCCCGCAATACAACAACGAAAACCCGCATCCAACAACGAAAGCCCTCCACCCTATAGCCTACGCCCTACGCCCTACCGCCTACGGGACCATCTACAAAATAAACATTTGAGCACTTCCGACTTTTGATTGTGAGGCTAATTCACAACAAAAAAGTAGTGTATCACCGAGCTCGAACAAAGGTCGAAGACTCGCTTTCACCGATCACCGAACGATTTCCCTCCCGCCTAGCACGAATAACTCCGACCCAAGCATTCCAAGGTTGATTCTCGAACCTCGACACTCGCGAACAAAAACACGAGATCACAGGACCAGATAACCTCGAAAGTAAGTCGAAGGACAGGGAATCGTCAATACAACCAGCTCGCGCGGGTTGCACCTCGCTCTGGCTGGTGGCCACGCAATTATCAATCCATGAGGCCCAAAATCGCTGGCCTATGGCAAAAAAAAAGACTTAAAAAACACATGAAAGAAACGAAGGCGTATCTGAAACGAGAAGAGACTAGATGCGTCACTTGAAGGAGCCACAAGGAGCAGATTAGCGCTGGTAGGGGTGGTAGGTTCGGTGTCCACCTCGGCCGCCACCACGGTAGTTCGCACCAGGCTTGCCGGCGTTACGGGGTCCAGTGGGAGCATTAGCAGGAGCAGTGCTTTGGGGCTGGGGAGTGGTTCCTGTTTGAGAGAAGTGTTAGTTAATGCGATCTAATGAGATAGGAGTGGAATTGGGATGAAAGGGGCACAATATGTAAAGACTCGTAAGAATCACATACCACTACCCGAACTTCCAATGCGTCTCATACCTGCTGGTCCGGTCGGGACGTGAGGCTGAGGAACTTCATCGTACATGCCCTCCCACGAAGTTGGGCCACCCTGCTGCTGGTAAGGCGAGAAACCGCGAGGGTCCATGGAGCGGTTAATCTGTTGCTGCTCGTACTTTTGCTGCTCGAAGGCAATCTGCTCGGTCGCGTTGTATCCAGGTCCAGTCTGTCCTCTGGCTGCGTTCGGGGTTCCATTGCTGTAGTTAGCGGCCATAGCGGCGGCGTTGGGGGCAGGGCTGGCGGAATCGCTGCCTGGACCACCAGGGGCATTGGGTTGGTTAGGTTGCATCATAGAGGGGTTCATCATGTTGGGCATGGACTGCTGGGAGCCAGGGCTCTGAGGGCCGGGGCTCATAGCACCTTGCTGCTGGGCACCCATATGATGTTGTTGCTGCTGTTGTTGCTGACGCATCTGCATCTGTTGCATCTGTTGCATCTGCGCGATCATAGCAGGGTTCATGTTCATAGCGCCACCCATGTTCATACCAGGCATTCCTCCCTGACCGGCGGCCATCTGCTGTTGCATCATGGTAAAGTACTGTTGCATGCGTTGCCAGTATTGAGCCATCACCTGAGGAGTCATCGAACTACCCTGTCCCTGCTGAGGGGCTTGCTGCTGCCCTCCATCGTTCTGGTTTTGGTCACGGTATCCTCCGTTGCGGTGGCCTCCACGTTGATCGTTGTTCTCACGCAGGTTGCCACGGGGCTGTGCCTTCTTGACCTCAATTGGCTTGCCCAGAATCTCAAGAGGACGGGAAAGAGCCTTCTCAACAGCAGCATCACCGTCGAAAGTGACGAAACCAAATCCACGGGGACGTCCGGTGTCCTTGTCCATCATAAGAGTGGCATCCACAACACGGCCAAACTGCATAAAGAATTGCTTGAAGTCTTGCTCGGTAGCCTCCTGGCTAACACCACCAACGAAAATTTTTGAAGTCTTCTCCTGTTCGTCGCGGGGAATAGCACGCTTGGGATCGATCTTCGATATTGGTCAGCTACAGTTCAATTTGACCAATTGTCCCAATTGCGAGGTAGTTCTTACAATCTTTCCATCCAGATAATGCTCCTTCACCATCACAGTATTGACAGTCTTAGCGTCACGGAAAGTCAAAAACCCAAAGCCGCGGGAGCGTCCAGTGGCGCTATCCCGCATGACAGTGCACTCCTGAACCTCACCGAATTGAGAGAAATAGTCACGAAGGGACTCTAAATGAAGATCAAGATATATTAGCCAGATGACGCGTTTTCCGTGTAGATAAGATGGATTTACCGTCTGTAGTTTCCCAGTTCAGACCACCGATAAACATCTTTCTAGTAGGCGGATTGTCGTTGGTCAGCGAAGCTTCAGCGAAAACATGATGAATCGAATATTTAGGGAAAGGATATTCAATGAACGGCATGATGAAGATAATGCATGTGGTAAGAATGATAATGGGGTAGGGTAGAGGAAAGAAATCAATGTGCAAAGGTGGGTGGCGAGGTATTGCTATTCATGGGCTATTCGAGTGTGCGAAAAGCTTCGCTATTCAGAGCACAACTCCCCTAGAACAAGGAAGGCACGTGCTAGGTCGGTACATAATCTTCGGCCTTGTAGTCACTGTCAATGTATACTTGTACGGTCTTGAGCAATTTTGATGTTCATGACCGGGATTTAACGTCAAGCCCACTGGTTTACATGGGTCTGGATGCAGAATTCATGTCCTCCTCTTTCTGGATTGCTCAAGCCGGAGACAGGCGAGAAGAGAAGCGTGTAGGTGCAAGTATTTCAGTCGTAAAAAGTGAATTGCCACTGTCTGTCTGTCTGACCCGTGAAGACCTTTGCCTTGTTTAACACAGAGTCCCAAGCTAGATAGCTACTTTCTGCTCTGCCCTATCAAGGTATATCGACAGGAAACTATATAGTATCGGCTGTACTATATGAATCGTTTTTGACAAAGGTCCGTGGGTGGCGTGTGGGTGATTTGCGCAAGCAAGTATCTTGACCAAGGGCCGCAGGCGATGTGCCTTTTGAGCCTCTGCTTGATTCCGCGGGGCGAATGTCGAAGTAACCCAACATATGATTTGTAGACCACTCTTGGTAGACGTTGATGGTTGCGCGATAGGCTTTTTCGAATAGACAAGTTGATTGGTCACCGAGCCCGCATTTTGTTTTCCCTCCTTCCCAAGGTCGAAACGCATGCGCCATCAAACAACCGGCGAATTTTTTCCTCAAACAGCCCACAGTCCACAGCCCAGAGAAATCTTAACCCATAGCGAGGAGACTCCTTCCTGCACCCAGAATTGTAGTCGAATCCATGAATAGCAATTGGCGCCACCTAGGCTTGTACCGGCGAGGTAAACCCCAAAACCAGAAAGATACATGCAATTGGGGAAGAGTTCGAACATAGGATGTGAAAGAAACGCAATTAGTGAACTTACCCGTCTTCTTTGATTCCTGTTCCGTGAGACTCGGGCTCGACAGGAGGGGGTGCCTGGGCAGTGGCAGGGGCGCTATAAGCATTTCCGGAGCCATTATGATAACCCGGGTCAAATTCCGAAGGCTGAGTAGGGTGCGATTCATAGGTGCTAACAGGGGCAGGTGCGAAATCCTGCCCAGCAGATTCTCCAGCAGGAGCAGGGTTGGTCGCGCCTAGATCAGTAGGCTTCGGCGCCTCAACCGCCGCAGTAGTGCGATTGGTGGAATCGTCAGCGTCGTAGCTAATGCGAAGAAGTCCAATTAGAATACCATCACTTAATTTCAAAATGAAGTAGAAAACATACAGATCAGCAAAGAGATCATCTCCATCCTCTGGGTCAGCCATGATAAATGAGTGGTCAATAAAGCGATAATAGAAACAGTTACGAGAACACGTGTAACCCTAGTAAATCAGAGTAGAGCAAAACCAAAGTAACGAGAAGAGCAGAAAATGTGAGAACAAGCGAAGAAGAAGTTGCGAAGTGCAGGACCGCGGGATTCCCCAAGCGGAGCGCTTACATAATGCGTTGTCTTCATGCCGGACTCGGGATGAAAGCTAGACATTTTGTATCTATACATGGTGAGAACCTACAATATTGCTTTGATTTGCCTTTCATTTCGAGTCTATTCATCTTAAATATGCTCTATTGATCTTCTATTCAGTCTCTACATGGCCTGGCTGCAGGATATACGGTTATCGTTCTATTACAGTCGCACCCCGCACGTGTATTAGACTCCCGCATGAGCACACCACTCTCGGAATCCCCATACGATGGCGAACAAAAAAGGGAAACAGGTAAGTTTATCTTTCTGGACCTAAGGTTCTCTTGAATTCTGCTGTGACATTGAGCTAACTGTATCACTAGGAAATGGTCCAGGTTGGTTCGTATCTTTTGCCTCCCCTTGCATCTTAATCGCAGCTATAGCTTACATGGCCTTTCTTCCCATTTCACAGACAAGTCGGAGTAAGTGAAAGCTTTATATGCGCTCTTCTACAGCTATAAAATCAGCTGTAAGGTCCATTGAATGCTAATGTCCTTTGAAGACGTGCCGATTCACCCTTCTGGGCTGGCCGAAATGCGTCCCTAAACCAGGGATCGTCGAAGTTCTATAGCTCGAATACTGTTGTTGGCGCATCATACTCACATGCCAATATTGTACAGTATGTTAGCAATGCATTCCACAAATCCAGAAATTGATCGGAAACGATGACTGACAAGTGTCTTCTTTGGCAGACCTACCTCCTCCCACTCCGCCCCAAGAACACCACCAAAGCCATCGGCTTCAAATGTTGCATCAAACTTGCCTCGACGGCCAGGAAACCTAGTTGCCTCACCTCCCCGGCAGCCCTACCCCGGCATTATGACCGAAGGGGTCGACGAGTGGAGCCGTGACCCCACGGAAGATGATGATGAAGAAGATGATGATGACGAGATTGTGTACGATGATGATGAAGACGAATTCGGGCTCCCTAGTCTTGCTAGTATGAGAAGGAAAAGGTCCGCGCCTTTGAAGGCCCAGAATATTGATTTCAGTGGTGGGGCAGGCAACCCCTCAACACTGGGGTATGGATTAGCAGCCGCCAACAGGCAACGCGCGAATAGCTCAGATATTGCGGAGGAGCGCGGTGCCCCGCTGTATCCAACTGCTCGTAAGGGGGATGAGAAGATCCTCCGGCCTCAATACAAGGACATCTTACAAGGTATGTATGAGTTGATGGCTAAAAAAAAGTAGGAACATGCTGACATTTATAGACCCTGCTAATGCTTTGAATCTCATCAACCACTCCCCACCTCCTATAGATGCTTCACCCAAAGAGAGGGACATCCACTCGAGTCGCATCACGCGAATTAACAAGTTCAAGCGTATCTTGCAAGCAAGTACGGTATCTCCCACCGAGCTGCGGGATCTCGCGTGGTCAGGTGTCCCGGAAGAAGTGCGACCAATGACTTGGCAACTTCTCCTTGGGTATCTTCCTACAAATAGTGAGCGACGCATTTCCACTCTGGAACGGAAGCGCAAGGAGTACCTTGACGGAGTCCGGCAGGCCTTTGACCGAGGTAGTGGGGCAAGCTCTGCAAACCCTCCTTCGACCAAGGGCCGTGGCAGAGGACTTGATGAGGCGGTTTGGCACCAGATTAGTATTGATGTTCCACGCACTAGCCCTCACATTCCGCTGTATGGCTATGAAGCTACCCAGCGGTCTTTGGAACGCATCCTTTATCTCTGGGCCATCCGACACCCAGCAAGTGGATATGTTCAAGGTATTAATGATCTAGTCACGCCATTCTGGCAGGTCTTTCTGGGTGTTTACATAACCGATCTGAACGTTGAAAATGGAATGGATCCAGGCCAATTGCCTCGGAGTGTGTTGGATGCAGTGGAAGCAGACACCTTTTGGTGTTTGACAAAGCTGCTGGACGGTATCCAGGACAATTACATTTATGCTCAGCCTGGCATTCACCGACAGGTCAGGGCACTACGAGACCTGACAGTGCGCATCGATGCAGCACTCGCAAAGCACCTAGAGCAAGAAGGTGTGGAGTTTATGCAATTTAGTTTCCGATGGATGAACTGCTTGCTCATGCGGGAAATGAGCATCAAGAACACGATACGCATGTGGGACACGTACATGGTACGTTTCCCTCCACAGGACTACTTTGCATGATACTGACTGTTATTCTAGGCCGAGGAGCAGGGCTTCTCTCGATTCCACCTTTATGTTTGCGCTGCATTCTTAGTCAAGTGGACAGATCAATTGGTCAAGATGGATTTCCAGGTACGATTTCGGAATCGAATATCGCCACTATTAAACAGAAACTAACGTTCTTCCAGGAGGTTATGATGTTCCTCCAAGCATTGCCAACGAAGGGTTGGACCGAGAAAGACATTGAGCTCTTACTCAGCGAAGCATTTATCTGGCAAAGCCTGTTTCAAGACTCGCGTGCTCACCTCCGGCCTGCTGGCGATGAACCTCCTGAAAATGGTATCTTTTATTGATAGTAATCATAATTCATGATCCGAATTCCCGACTTCTATTTTCGGATGCTTTCTCCCGGGGCAGACATCGTCTGTCTCGTTCAGTTGAAATGAATGCCCTTTTGGTTGAATGCCCACAGCAACTTCAAGAAATCATTCTCATCACACATTCGCGCGCGTCTCTCTCCGAGATCAGTGTCATCCTCTAGGACCTGGCGCACCTTCTCACGGACTAATTCTGCAACCTTGCCACGCTTCTTGCGCGAAGCTCCATTCTTGAGTGCTGCTTCGAGGCGGGCATTTGTGCTCTCCTTGAAGAAATCAGGAACATCGTCATCGTCCATATCCATGACCTCGTCGGCCGGTTCCTCGACAGCCTGTTCCTGCTCTTGCTCCTCGCCCATGTCCATTGCCATGGCATCGTCATTGGCGACTTCCACCGGGCCATCCTCCACCGGAATGTCGTTTTGCGCACACCATGTCCGATAGTTTGCCTCTAGCAATTCCATGATGCTTGTCGTACCAATGAAACTGGACCGGAGAGTCTTGTTCTTCCGTACGAAAACAATTCGCAAAAGACCATCCCACTCTTCGTAGTTGATCTGTGGCCGTGGGTTCTTAGGGACCATTCGAATAACGCTCGACTCGACCTGCGGCGGGGGCTTGAAGTTGTTCTTGCCAACCTTCATGATATGGTCAATCTTGGCCCACATTTGCGCATTGACTGAAAGTCGACTGTAAAGTTTGTCGCCGGGCTTGGCGAATAAACGCAGAGCGAATTCACGTTGGAACCTGTATGGGAGGTTAACATGTAAGCTTTCAGTTACACAGAATGTTTCTGAAAACTTCTAGCCTTGATAACTGGAACTTACATGAGTACGCAAGAACGGGGCGCCGGAGATGTAGCCAGGAGCTTGAATGTGAGAGGAGAAGAGATCTTGACTCTGTTAGACTCGGGAACAACCTTTGGAAAGGACCTGGGGATGTATGTACCTGGTAGGGAGTATTACTGATGCAGACATCGAAGTATGGGAGCTCCGTCTTCATCACATCTCCAAGAATGACCTCCAGGCGCTTTTGGTATGGAGTGGACTGGAAGCGTTTGGTGACTTCTGCAGCCATACGAGGATCCAATTCCACAGCAATGCACTTCTTTGCCTTTTCCAAAATCTTGGCTGTCAAGTTACCAGTACCGGGACCAATTTCGAGGACGATCTATTGATTCACACTATTAGTGTTTGTTGAGCCAATCAATGTCTTTTGTAACTCACATCGCTTTGCTTGAGCTCGGCCTTTTCCACAATTGCAGCTAGATAGCCACCTGTTAGCCACAGAAGAAATAGTGTAGTGAACACCAGTGCCTACCAGCAATACCAGGGTTCTTTAGAACGTGCTGGCCAATATCAGTGTTCATCTTGAAGATGCTGTGAGCGGCTTTTGTCTTGGCAGCAGCATCTGACAGGCCCTGCGAAGCAGCGCTATTGCGCTTCTGCTTGTTAACCTTGGGCATCTTGTAGTAATGAGCCTCTAGAATCTGACAATTATCAAAAGAATCCAGAGGGAAAACCTGCGGCAACAAAGCACATGGACTTCAATGTGGGCGGGAACTTTTTTTGCGATAAGATTGCCGGTGCCGGAATTACATTTTCCCGAGCCCGCCTTTGCCTTCTGCGCCGTCGCCGTCGAGCTCTTTGAGTTGTGTTGTGCCCAATATGGCGTCTGGACGAAAGGATTTCCTAAGCCAGGCAGCGCCTGAGAATTATGTTGCTGGTCTAGGTCGAGGTGCGACAGGATTCACCACTCGCTCCGATCTTGGCCCGGCGCGTGAAGGACCTACGCCCGAACAGATCCAGGCTGCTCTCACCAAGAGAGCCCAGCTTCTGGGAGCTGCTGCACCCACTGCCTACGGCGCCACTACACGCGAAAAAGGTGGAAAAGAAGAGGATAAGGAGGAGGAAGATGAGCGGTTCCAGGATCCCGACAACGAGGTTGGGCTGTTCGCATACGGACAGTTCGACCAAGAAGACGATGAGGCAGACCGCATCTACCAAGAGGTAGATGAGAAGATGGATAAGCGCCGGAGAGCTCGCAGGTTAGTCATATCCCTCCCATTCCCCCTCCGAAACCATTTGTTTATCGGGTTAGCCCCGGTTGTTTGGACAGAGTACCGACTTGAATCGCTTGCCACCTACAGGGAAGCTCGAGAGAAAGCAGAACAACTAGAATACGAACGCAATAACCCGAAGATCCAACACCAATTTGCCGACCTGAAACGCACACTCGCCTCGGTATCTGAAGAAGACTGGGCCAACCTCCCGGAGGTTGGAGATTTGACGGGCAAAAATCGACGAGATAAACAGAATGCCCGACAGAGACACTACGCTGTCCCGGATAGTGTGATTGCTGGCGCGAGAGACTCAGCTCAATATGGCACGACAATTGCTGAAGATGGCACGGAAACGACGGTTGACGAAGGAGAAAACGCCGACGGGACCCTGATGAACTTTGCAGATATCGGTGCGGCGCGTGATAAAGTGCTGAAGGTCCGACTCGATCAGGCTGCGCTAGGGTCATCCGGTGATAAGTCCGGGACTGCTACAAATATCGATCCCAAGGGTTACCTTACCAGTTTGACACAATCAGAAGCCAAAGCTGGCGAAGTCGAGGTAGGCGATATCAAGCGAGTTCGCACCCTGTTAGAATCCGTCACCAAGACCAATCCTAAGCATGCTCCCGGTTGGATTGCCTTAGCTCGCCTGGAGGAGCTTGCTGGCCGGATTGTGGCTGCTAGGACTCTTATCGCTAAAGGGTGCGAGCTCTGCCCCAAAAGCGAAGATGCATGGCTGGAAAACATTCGACTCAATGAAGGCCACAACGCAAAGGTCATTGCAGCGAATGCTATCAAGAACAATGATCGTTCTACAAGACTTTGGACCGAGGCCATGAGATTAGAAACGGACACCCGTGCCAAGAAGAATGTTCTTCGACAAGCTATTTTGCACATCCCTCAATCGGTGCAGATCTGGAAAGAAGCTGTCAATCTAGAAGATGATCCCGCCGATGCGCGCTTGCTGTTGGCAAAGGCGGTTGAAATTATTCCTCTGTCGGTCGAGTTGTGGCTTGCCCTTGCTCGCCTTGAAACCCCAGAAAATGCACAAAAGGTTCTTAACGCTGCTCGCAAGGCCGTTCCTACTAGCTATGAAATTTGGATTGCTGCAGCTCGACTTCAGGAGCAGATGGGTACATTCGCCAAGGTCAATGTCATGAAGCGTGCTATTCAGTCCCTGGCCCGAGAGAACGCCATGCTCAAGAGAGAGGAATGGATCACAGAAGCCGAGAAATGCGAAGGCGAAGGCGCCGTGCTTACATGTGGCAGTATCATTCAAGAGACTCTCGGATGGGGCCTGGATGAGGATGATGACCGAAAAGATATCTGGATGGACGATGCAAAGTCCAGTATTGCTCGAGGTAACTACGAAACTGCCCGAGCAATTTACGCTTACGCCCTGCGGGTCTTTGTAAACCGCCGATCCATTTGGCTCGCAGCAGCGGATCTCGAGCGCAACCACGGCACCAAAGAAGCTCTCTGGCAGGTTCTGGAGAAGGCAGTCGAAGCGTGCCCCCAGAGTGAGGAGCTCTGGCTCCTCCTTGCCAAAGAGAAATGGCAGTCTGGAGATATTGACGATGCTCGACGAGTCCTCGGCCGTGCCTTCAACCAAAACCCCAACAACGAAGATATCTGGCTGGCTGCTGTCAAGCTAGAGGCCGACGCCAAAAAGACAGATCAAGCAAGAGAACTTCTGGCCACCGCCCGCCGTGAAGCCGGCACAGATCGCGTGTGGACCAAGAGCGTTGCTTTCGAGCGGCAGCTCGGCAACATCGACGACGCTCTGGATCTAGTCAACCAAGGCCTGCAACTCTTCCCGAAGGCCGACAAGCTCTGGATGATCAAGGGCCAGATCTACGAAGCGCAGAACAAGTTCCCGCAAGCGCGCGAGGCATACGGAACTGGCACCCGAGCCTGCCCCAAATCCGTTGCGCTGTGGCTACTTGCCTCGCGCCTAGAAGAAAAAGCAGGCGCCGTGGTCCGAGCCCGATCCGTCCTCGACCGAGCGCGTTTAGCCGTTCCCAAAAGCGCAGAGCTCTGGACCGAAAGTGTGCGTGTTGAACGTCGCGCCAATAACATTGCCCAGGCCAAGGTCCTCATGGCGCGCGCAATCCAGGAAGTTCCATCATCGGGGCTTCTGTGGAGCGAAAGTATCTGGTATCTCGAGCCCCGCGCTCAACGCAAGGCACGCAGTCTGGAGGCTATCAAGAAGGTCGAGAATGACCCGATTCTTTTCATCACTGTCGCGCGTATCTTCTGGGGCGAGCGTCGGTTGGAGAAGGCCATGACCTGGTTTGAGAAGGCGATCGTTTTGGATAGTGATTACGGTGACGGCTGGGCTTGGTATTACAAGTTCCTTTTGCAGCATGGCACTGAGGTTCGTTACTCCCTTCCTCGCTTCAACCATTCGTTTTTTTGGGATTTATGTTATTATTGGAATGTTCAGCTGACATCTACAATACAGGAAAAACGATCAGATGTCGTGTCGAAGTGCATCTCAATGGAACCCAAGCACGGTGAGTTCTGGCAGTCCATTGCGAAGGATCCAGCCAATGCCTACAAGACTACCGAGGAGATTTTGAAGCTCGTCGCAAATACCATCAACTAGCTGGCGTATTCTTTGTGGGTGTATAGTCTACAGGCGTTTCGGGGGCAAACCGCCCATGGAAATCAATCTTTGGCAGGGATCAGTCTCTGTTAGACTCACGTCTAAAAGTCCAGTGTCCTACTATGTAACTATGTAATAACTTCTCAAGATAACCAAGTTGCAAAGTAGAATTCATGGGTATCGCACGAGCTTGACCTCCTCTTCCCAATAGGGGTCATAGCCATTCAGCTTTTTAGTCTCTTTGTTTTCTCTGAGCTTTCCCTTCATCCTCCAGATCTCGACTGCTTCGCCTTGTCCCTTAAGAAGTGATACTGTACATGACCAAATAGGAGGGGGATGAAACATAGGGGACAAGGCAGAGGCGATCGAGAACGGATAAGACAATATCTTCAAACTCCAAATCCATATGCAAATCATGTGGCGTCACAAATAGTGACAGCCTCCCTTGGTAGTACCCAGACGCCGTGAGCCACCATCCAAAACCGTAGAACAAAAAAAGAGCAGAAAAAGCATGTAATGTGGCATGTATGAAACGGAAAAAAAGAGACAGCGGGGGTATAAAATTCTCATGCGGCCATGGAAAGACACTCATCGAGCAAAGAGCTCAACTGATCTCGATCACCCAGTGTGCCGCCTTCCCAGTCTAACAGAGAACCGTCTTCGTCTTCATCTTCGTCCAAGTCCATCTCGTCTTCGGGTTTGATTTCTTGATGCGGCTCACCAACACCATTCTCCAACCGTTCGTGTCTTTCAGTCTCGAGTTCGTCTTCGAAGTATCCGTTCATGATTTGGTCCACAATGAGTGGCATGTGGCCGAGGACACCACCGCCCAGCTCCAAAGTTAATCGCAGGTCTCTAACGCCCAATGGTTTTCGAATGTTGGCCTCTCTCGCTTCAACAGGGAGTAGGCCTGTGGCAGCATCCTTTGCAATTTCTCCACGTGTGAATGCAAGCTCTTCAACTTCTAGTTGGTGTCGGTACTGACGCATCATCATGTTATTGATTGTGCCGGAGGGGCCATTCGAACGGGTGCGCGAGAACACAGCGGATAAAACTTCCTTCACGAAAGTTTCCGTCGCAATTGCCATGAACTCAGCACATGGGAGCCCAGCACCGCTGGGTAAAGATTCTTCGTAACATATGGGGACCATGCGAGCATGGATGGATTCGGCATCGGGGAATTCGCCTGTTTCTGCGGCGAGAGGCTGAGCATAGCGTTTTCGGATTTCGAGTTCCCAGTCTATAATGAAGGAGGATGGTTAGGAGTTATTTCCTGGTAGGGGACCACGGGAACGGAGAGGATATCTCGAGTTCGACGCGAAGGGTATCGCCTTACTAGTTTTGTTCAGCCCGCCTGCACTTGCGGGAACCTGGCTGGGTAATTTGAATTGCTTAGCTAGATGGCTTTCTTCGAGCTCTATAGGAGCCGTTTCATTGGGATCTCGCTGATGATCATTAGCTGTCGGGCTCTGCGGCGAAGGTGTTCGTCATCGTTTGCGACTACATACCTCTGGGATTCCCTTTATGCGCCGACGGTCCCTCGGAGGTAATTTCATGACCTCCGTCTTCAATCTTTGTTCCGCAGCATCTCCGGAGACGGGTTTCGACACCGTTGATGGTTTATCGTTGGCCGATACCCAGTTTGCGACGCCATGATCGGGGAGGTCTCGCGTGAGGTTTCCGATGAGCGCGCATACAAAATTATTATGTAGATGTTCGTTTTTAGGATCGGCGCACAAGAAGTAGTCGACGCGTGACGAGTATTCGCTCTGGTTGTAATGTCCTATCATGAAGCAAGACGTCAGGAGGTGATCGAACCGAGGCCAATACGTAGAAGGGAAGGGGGGAAACAGTCCCCGCGGAGCTCAAACAATCGCTCTCTGACCAGCAATTCCACGCGCATCCAGACATACCTAGTAAGAACAGCGCTGTAGACTCTTTGTATTCGGCCCACTTGTCTCCGATGGCGGCCTTCAGGTCCGTGTAGGCATGCTCCAGCTCCAGCCGAGGCACTGATATTAGAGCTCTGGAGGTCTTCGCGGATACTGAGCCGTTGGGCACGGCGCCTTTTGGATTTGAGATAGAGTCACTCCGACTCAGAGCTGCCGGATCAATCTGCATGGTTGCTGAACTCGCGAGAGCGCGACGGGCGACGCCGAAGGGCAGGGAATATTGGCACCTACGCCTTCATCAAGGAGGATTCTAGGGTTCAAACTAGAAATGAAGGAAGAGAGAATGTTGTCATAAGAGAACCCGATGAATTGAAGATGAAAATTGATGGAGTGAAAGAGATGGCGATGGGTTTGGGTGGAAGGGGAGGTTCCGACTTACGGTTCCCCGCCAGACGCCAGAAACGGATACATCGATGTGCGCCAAACTTAGCAGTATTGCCCTGAATGTGGTTACATATATTTCACTACAATGTAATTTTATATGATTTTCAGATTGATTAGCTAGATTTTCAAGCTAGCTGAACTACATCTTCACTTAATACCCCAAAGAGTTGTCCGATCTCCGCAATGATCTCCGTGATCTCATTCGATAATTGGCCCGTCACCAAAACTAGAAGTACAAGGGTCAGTATATTGTACCAGATATAACCAGCAACTAAAGAAATACTTACTATAGGCATAAAGCAAAGCACAGTCCTCATCTGTGGTCTGTTGAGATGCTTCATGATCCAGGCGATAGCGATATATGCGAGCAAGCAATCGGTCTCTGGCATGCTCAATGCTAGGAAGCACATCATTCAAAGGGTACTCGAGTTTCATTGATGAGGCAATCACTAGAAGATAGTCAGCAATGCATCAAGTGCACGGTAGCTGCAAGAGGACTGACCTGATAGTAGATGGCTCACGCGAGCAGATAGCTGTCGCCGTTCTAATTTTGTGTATTGAAGAAGGCTGATTTCACCCTCAGTAGCCAAATCATTCTTCATCAGCTCGATATTCATAGTATGGAAAGAATTCACCATGCTGCGTGTACGGCGAACAATGTTGGCATAAGAGGCTTCGGGGAATGCACTCTTCAATTCAAATTCGGAGCCTGCCGCAGCCTGAAGAGACTCCAGTCGAGACAGAAATCTTTCAATCTCAAGCTTCTGTCGGGGTGTCATGTATAATACAGACCTTTGGCCTTTAGCCATGATGGAGAGGGGATCGCGTTTCCAGACAAGACTGAGGTGCAGCCAGAGAAGACTCAGGCTCTCCTTGAGCCTACTTCTTGCGCTGATGGGCCAAATCATTCGAGTGATGATGATTCCCCAAATGCATCCAGACAACACAGCAACAACTCGATGAAGTGCAATTTCAGTCATGATTGGATTAGAACCGCCTTCGTCTTCGTCGAAATTTGCCGCCTTCTGAGAGAGAGAATAGCCATATAGCACGGAGAGGTTGTAGGTGAGCATGATGAACCGGCCCATGGGTCCATTCCCACGAACGATAGTGATGTATCCAGTCCAAACGGCCATTATCCATCCCAAGAATGCAAGAGCAAATACATTTCCAGCGGTGATGTTCCATGCGAAGATAGCAGCAACTGCTCCCAAACAAGTACCGAGGAAACGGGCATACCCCGTCGTATTCGAAGCCCCGATTGTCATTGAGCAAACCAGCATGTATGACAACAGACCCCATTCTCCTCGCCAGCGCCCATAGAACGGGCGAGTGGAAGGAAGGAAAGCAGGCAGCGCGTAGATGGCGGCTCCTGCACCAACCTTGATCGCGTATTTCGTATCATCTCGTCGGAAGAACCCAAGACATTTCCATAAACGGTAACCGAGTCTTTGCTTTGTTGTGTCGTTTTCTGAGGGGCCCTTTCGTGTCTGAACATTGACTGACAGTCTATCGTGTGCAATTAGGCCATCTGATGCATGCCTAGCATGCCCATGTAGGGCCTGCTCATTAGCGGGTGGATTGAAAGATCTGGAAGCTGATTCTGTAGGGAGTTAACATGATATCTACGTCTCGACAGTTGGTATGTGGAGATATACGTACCAGCATGAAAGGAGGCTATTTTAGCGGTGTCTGTATTTCTCGACCACTGCCAGACTTTGAGCCATGACCAGGTTCGCCCATGAGGCCGCTCTTCTACTTCCAACTGCAGCTCATCTAAGATGGAAAGCATCTCTCGGAGCTGCTCTCCAAATTCGAGAAGAGAAAAGCTGAAATGGCCACAGCTGGCTGTAACTTCCTCAAGGTCGGCTTCAGCTTCGCGGGTCTTCAATTTCATCGTCTCCTTTTGTTGATACAAGGCTGCGAGTGTCTTCTCACGTGATTCTTTGTAAAGATCAAGGGCCCGGTCAAGACTGATTCGCAGTCGACCATTTACTGAGACTTTGTAGTGTGGTGCAGGCCCAAATGGAATTTCCTTGAAGATTTCTTTCAATGTAAAGGCCAAAGATCGCTGCTTCTGGTCAGCCTTGAATTGTATCAAATACTTCTTGAGTTCCAACTTACCATTGCAGGACCTAGGTGAGAGATGAATATAGTAAAGACATCTGCTGGAAGAAGTGCGGGTCTTGGTGTTGATTCAGCACTTCCAAGTTGGTGGGAACCACCTGGAGATAGTTCCTCCTCTGGTCGCTCAACAATAGGCTCCAGAAAGGACCCATCGGGGAATGACCAGGATCGCTCGAGGGGCGTAAAATAGTCCACATGAGTAGAGCTACCCTGCAGATCTTCCGGAGAGGTAGACTCGCGGGCGATAGTCTCACGAATCAAACTGAACTGGAGAGAAGCTGCATTACGAAGTCCTCCCATATTGTGAGTGATATCTTGCACCCAGCGGACGAGGTTCTTTTCGAGCCTGTACTCTTTTTCAGTGCCTGCCACATAATGCTCAAGTTTAGCTTCTCGGACAAGCCTGTCAAGCTGGCTATAGGCCTTGCGGTGCTTTGCCTCTGCGTCAACGAATTCGGTCGAAACAAGGACCTCCTCAGTCCCGCTCAAGAAGCTTTCCGTGATAAGTGCCATCATTAGAGCCAATGTATCAGTGACCGTGACGAGGTTCGAGCGCAGCTTTTTACGCGCTGATATGGGAAAAACGAAAAAGGATACAACCATGACTGCCACGACGCCCATCAGAACCATCTTCAAGACTTGGAAGATCTTGGCAAGAGATATGTCGCCGCTCTGCACAGAACCTTCCTTGGTCAAAAGGGTGATTGTTGACAGAGCAGTGAGTGAACAGGCAACGTTCACCAGAGGATCGCCCAGTCGTTGCTTGGTCCAACCGACAAAGCCAAGGCCACCACCACAAAACACTATCAGAACCACCGCATGGCCAAGCGCAGTCAATTCCAATGTGTCCTGGAAAAACATCTCCACGAACATGCTGGTAATAGTCAAGAAGGTAGAATAGCAGAACGCCAGGAACGCACAGATCAAAGCCTTGAACATTGCACCCTGAGATCTGGCAGGGTGGAAGTAGACCGTGACCGTAGCCACCATGTGTTTCCCATCCTGATGGCCCAGCATGGCCGAGACCGCGGGGATAAAAGTTGCAAGAGATCCGACCAAATAGGCAAGACTGTACTTCAAGACCCCAATGCCCTGTTCGGATCTAACGAACTGGTTTGTCTGCGTCCATTTATCGTGGATACGGCGCGTGAGCGCGTCGAGGTACCCCTCATAATGTTGGATCTCGTTTGTGAGGAGCCCGCGCCTTTCCTCGTTGTCGTTGGAGGTTGGCGTGGAGTTTCGGAGGTTAACGAGGCCTTTTAGGCGTTGGCCTGTTTTCGGGAGAACAAATGTAGCCTGACGCAGCTTCACCGACGATTAGTATCTTTCAAGTCAGAAAATGCGAGTACATACCGTTGGGCGCGAGCGGCGGGAGCTACTAGGAGCTCCAGACGGCATCTTTCAGGTTTCACGTACTTCGCGTGGACTCAGGGCGTTGTGCAAGCCCCATGGCACATGGTCGATGACTCGCCCTTTCTCCAGTATTTATGAAGACGTCAGAGGGGCGTGCGGAGCTGCAGAGAGCTATGCAGATGAATTTGTTGGCAACGATTGGAAGGCAATTACGGCCACCTCCTATTTGTCATTGCCACGCACCTCTTTGTTTTGCTTTTTGTTGTCTACAACTCAGGGCATTTGATATTAATAGACTTGACCCCCATTCATACTGATTTCGAATTTATCTGGCTAACAAAGAAAATGGGAGAGCTCAATCTTTATAATTTCGTAGCAAAATACAGCCACAGCTACTCCACAATTATTTCAAACCTTCCACTTTCCACACCTTCACCGCTGCATCAGCACCAGCTGAAATGATCGTGGAGCCTCCTGCAACCCATCCGACACCATGGACACCCTCCTTGTGAGCATTCTGCAGCTCAAGCCAGTCGCCTGGCTTAGCCAAGCTCCAAACAAAGATGTTTGTGTCCAGCGATCCGCTCACAACGTGTGAGCCAGCCTCGTTCCAGGCAAGTGATGTGATTCGTGCAGTATGCGCCGTCCAGCGGTCCGTCACTAGACTGCCATCGGAAACCTTGAAAACCAGGACACGTCCCCGCAGGTCGCCCACAGCCAGGTGGGAAGCGTCTGGGGAGAATGCAAGAGCAGAGATTGGGTTGCGAGAGGCATTGATGTCTGCCCGGGGAGAAAGCCGAGAGCTGGAGATGGCACAGATCTGGACAGATCCATTCTCACCTCCAACGGCTGCCTGAGAACCGTGGGCGGCTACAGTAGTAGCCGCAAAGTCTGTTTTGTATTCTCCAGTCTTCTTGCCATCCTGGAAAATTTCGACGGTTTCGGCTTCGCCAACAAGCACGGTCGAGTCACCAGCCGCAACGCCCTTTGGCTGTCCATTGAGCTTTGAAGCGCTGCCAGTGTATGTTTTAGCAGCGACATCGACAGAACGGAGGGTGTCGTCCCAGCCGACACTGTAAATTCTACCGCTTCCCTCTGATGTGGTTGCAAGCCCGGCGACGTAACCGGGGTGGGCATCTCCTTCGATCTCCTCAGCCTTGCCCGAAGCTACATCCCAGTTGCAGACTCTTCCATCGAAGCTGCCTGTCCACAGAGTTTCCTTGTTATCCACAGTGGTCTGTGTCAATGAGGTGATGCTCTTCTGGTGGCCCGAGATAACCTGGCGGGGCTCTGGGGTTCCCTCGACCAAGTAGTTCAAGTCTCCGCTGAGAGATAAACTAATGAGCAGGTTATCGCTTCTTCCTGGAGGCCAGACCACGCCAACTTGTTGGTCGCGAACAGCCATAGCACCCTCCTCTCCCAAGGTCCAGGTCTGCGTTGCTTTGCCAGCTTCCACATCCCAGATCTTGACGGTCCGGTCCGCGCTTGCAGTAACAAACTTTCGCGAATCCTTGGCCCAGGACACACCAAAGATACTGCCCTTGTGTTCTCCTTCGCCGATCTGCCCTTTGGTCTCGCCTGTCTTACCGTCGTAGAGCCAGATCTTCCGGTCTGCGCCAACGCTGACCAAGTGCGAACCATCCGGGCTGAAGCCGACTCCGTAGATGTAGTTTGAGTGCTTATCAGCAATTCCATTGTTGAATTTGAACGGCGCTCCGTGGTAGAAGACCGTCTTCCTGTCGTCACCTGCAGTAGCGGCACGCAGAGGCCGCTGCTGCCTAATTGACACAGTGTTGAGCTGTTGCGTATGGCCGTGGATCTCGCCAACGGTGTTTCCACTATCCCAGGTGATACAATGTCCATATCGCTGCTTGCCATCGCCGACGGCAATAATGCGCTGGGAGTCACCGTCCCAGGCTAAATCGTTGATTCGACCATTGACAATGCTGTATTCACCCTTGGTGATTCCTTCGCCGACACAATCCCATACTCTCACGACTCCAGCCGCATCACCACTTGCAACGTAGAAACCGGAGGGGGCGAAGCGTGCGACAGTTGTCTGTGCCTTGTGTTCGGTGTACTGCCTAGCGACTGCGGGGTCGTCGATTGAACGCAGGAAGATGGATTTGTTGGACTGTAGTTGATGTTGTTAGAACAAGGCAGTGCTTTTGTAGGGGTTCTTGAAATCCCATACCGCATAGGCCAATCGCTCGCCTTTAGAATCAGAAGAAAGCTGGGTGGGCAGGCCGCGGGTGGTGGAGGGGCTAGCAGCCCAAATAGACTCTTTGAATATGTCAGGATAATAAAAGATAACATAAGGCTGTCAGGTTCTCACCATTCGTAAGCGACATTGCTAATATGTGCACACTCAAGCAGAGGACTTGGGAGAAAGCAGAGGGAAGTCCACTAGTCCACTGTTTATCGACTGACGTACCCGGGCCACAATAGCGGGGAACACAGCCACGCCTTGTCTACTGTACATAAAACAAGCATTGAGCATATGCAGGAGATGGATACATATATATCAACACATATACAATATATCTGGTAGCTCCAAATATTCTACCACAAAGGAAGTTGGAAGTCATAGCTCTCAATAAAAATCAATGCATAGCGCTAAGAGTAATAATACACTAAGCCGTGCCCCTTCCACCAGGCACCGGCCTGTACTTGTACAAGGAAATCTCCCAAAATATGTTTAAGATCCCAAAAACAATGACTCCACAGTAGTATGTTCGGCTTAGAAACCTCCGGGTCCCTCCATACGTGCTCGCATCTCGGACGCGAGAATTTCGGGGTGTCTGTGGACACTAGGCATAAGACCCATGCCGATGGCTCTCCGGAGTGCCTTAGCAATTTTGCGCTGGTTGACAGGTCGGAGACCAGTGACAGATCGGGGTTTGATACGGCCCATGCTGGTCATATACTCGGACATAACGGAGAAGTTCTGTAATGACAAAAGAGCCAGTAGTCAGTGGCTGTTCATCATGATATATAGTCCATAAATATAATGGCTCCATTGGCTCGAGGACTTCGTACCTTGTACAAATCCATAGGCTTCAGGTTCAATGCATCGAAAGCATCTGTCTGAGGGCTCTGGCGCTTTCCCCATTTCTTCATCTCGGCTGGGCTAAGATCGTGAGGGGAGTAGACGTCTCCAGCCTTGAAATCACGGGTTTGGTATCTCTCAAGGGCTCGGCTCTCGCCTTGAGCCTTCTGGTCCTCGAGGAACTTCAGGCGACTGGGTAAACGGCGTCGTTGGACCACTTGGGAGGCTATCGCAACGCATTAGTCGATGATCACGCACAAATGAATGTGTTTCCATATCATAAATTAGGAAAACAAATAGATCAGTTCGATGTATCGGGTTCATCACATACTCTGTGAGCTTGTGCCGCGTTGGGAGGTGAAAGCGCTCATGGCAGCGGTCGAGCTCCAGCGACAGAGCGAGAGGCCAACACTGGCTGTGGTCGCGGCATTGCGCAGCAATGACGACGAGGAAAAGCGGTTCAAAGACATCTTGACCTTTCAATCCCTGATTAGTTGTAGATGTTGAAGACGGTGATAGGGAGACCGGGCAACGCGGAGATGAGATCTTTTTTCGCCAAGACTTCTTCCGCCTCCAGATCTCTCCGCGTCGCGAACCCCCATTTTTCATGATTCCATGCAGATTGCGAGTCAACTTGTGACTACACGTTTTTATCCAATTCCTGTTGCTTCATTTGAGCTATAAGCTCAGCCGACCTCATCTACAATGCAGTCCCATCTCACGAGACGGGTCTTCCGGGCAATTATCAACAACGAACCACTTCGGTTCTCTCAATGCCATCGAAATCGCCTATTGCACACAATCACTCCTCCCCGTGTACGACCTGTCATGTCCAGGCTCCCTTATACATCGCGACGCAGCATCTTTGTCTTCAATTCAGACCCTGAGCGATCGCAATCTACTTTACCCTCCGAAAAAGGCCTGAAACCTATGGCTGATTTGATGAGGGCACTCAAAGATAGAAGCAGAACTCCCCCGAGTGATATTCTCGCAAAGGCATTCCAAACTTTCTTCACAATGCGGCTTGAAACACCAATGCTTATCAGTCATTTCCAAGCCCGCGTGTTGATCGTCACTTTCAAACATTTAAGGGCCCAGCAGAACGAGATGGAGGAAGAAGACTGGCAGAATGTTTTCTCGGTTGAGAACCTTGAAAAAGTGTTAGATGTACTCTCCGAGTCTGAGTGTGCTCCACAGGCTCGCGAGGTTGTCATGAACCTTGCTCGATACACATATCAGGAGCTAAACCTCGATCACGGGTTTGGTCCAGGAAAGATCAGCCGGCCTGCCCTTGCTCTCTATATCAATATCTTGGCCATGAATGGCAATCCCGAGGATGCTAGACATACCTTACTGAAGTTTTGGGGTCAGATGAGCAAGGCTGTCCCGTCGCCCTGGCTCACAATTATGAAAGGATTTGCCATGAAAGACGATCTGCGAGAGGTGCGGAAGATTGTTGATGAGTGGGGAAACCATGGCAACAAGTTTGACCAAGCCTCGCATGGAGAGCTGGTCAGATTTCTAGTCGACCACGGTCAGTGGAAAGCGGCTCAAACTGTCTACGACTCCCCAATTGCCGGTGACTCAGAACCCTCCATGGCTGCGAGAGAGGCTCTCATTAAATATTATCTCTTGAATTCTCGGGCAGAGTCGGCGGAGGAGATCTTCAAGTCTCTCCCCGATGAGCCCAACGAAGACACCGCTGGCATCATTTTGCTCTGGGAAGCTGCAAAGGGGAGCAATGCTTCTGCTCTTGCGCAAAAGGTCCATGCATGGACTGCGAAAAACCCTCAGCTCAAGGGCTCCATCCACATTGACATTGTTAATAACCTTGTTCAGTATGCAAACGCGATGCAGAACCCGCAGCTGGCTTCTGATTTCATGGCGTTAGCCGGCCAATTGGGTCTCACCCCAGATAGCCAAACTCATATTTTAGAATTGGAGTCCCGCATCCAGGCCGGCGATGTCGATGAGACTTTGAAGATTATTGAGGAGA